AAGAGCCGGACAGTGCATACTTGAATGCAATGAGTCGCCACTGCAACTTCGGCGATGAGAGAACTGACAATCCGTTACATCCAGCAACGCATCTCCATACGGTACACGGTAATTTTGTTAGGGACCGTTAGAAAATCGACTGGTGCGAAGGAGGCTTTAAGTCGCGCACGTTCTGTTTAATCGCTGACACACTAATTTGCCGCGACGTTATTACGTTCCTATCTTCGCGATCTCTCTCTCTCTCTCTCTCTCTCTCTCTCTCTCTCTCTCTCTTTCTCGCGATCTCTCTTACTTTTCCATTAATTCATGATGTAACCATGTACATCTCTCGGCTGCAATTAGTCTATTGGGAGCTCACGACGGGAATCGAGCGAGGAGACCTTCGGGAAATGAGACGCGCGAACGGCTGGAGGTCGCGCGAAACGCGGCCACGGGAAAAGCGCACAATTTTCGGAGAAACATCGGCATCACGCGCAAACGTATTCGGCTACCATAAGATACAAGAGAAACACGCGACGAACAAAAAATGATTATAAAAACCAGTAATAAATGATTTTTCCACATGGAAAAAAGTTTGGTCGGATTAATCAAATGTCTACACTGAGAAAAAAATACTTGAAAATTTATTTGATATATAAAGTTTATTCCTATGAAATAACACCCACAAATAAGCTTTCAAGTATTTTTTTTTCTCAGTGTAGTGAAATATGAACGAACCAAAAATTTCGGTTATAATTATTAGAATTCTGTTCAAATTAACAAGATTTCCTTGGACAGTTGCAAGTTCTGGTTAACTAGTAATTTTGTTTACTGGAACAGAATTCCAGTAATTTCTGCCGGTATTTCGTTTACATTTCATCAGACACTCACTCAATGTTTTCTTATACATAAAATAGAGATAGTGAGAAAGTCAATCAATCGATTCGCCAACGCGGATTCATCTCCGAGCAATTTCATCCGCTAACCTTCACGAAGTCTCATTTCTCGTGGCCTACATTCGATTTGTCGCGTTTCAAAGTGATTCGACTTGCATCGTACGCAAAAAATGGGCCGCGTTGCAGCAACACGCTTTACTGTTATACGACGAACGCGACGGCGCTCACTTCACGATCGGAAGCTGCCGCGCGGGGCGAATTGTATAATACTTGTAAATAAGCGTGCGCACGCGAAGAAAAGAAATCTAAAATATAACGGCATTGGTATCTCTCTTTGCGCAAGAGAGCGTCGTTATAGAGAGGTATAACTCCGGGACGAGCGGCGCCGCGGCATATGCGCGACGTGCAAACGAACGAGAAGTGCGAAACACGCTTGTGATCAGATTTGTCGAATAAATCAAGACGTTTACTCAACGGCGGCGGAAGCTGATATCAAAAATGGAAAAAATGGAAGAAAAAAGCGACAATATCGCCGAGCCACCGCGTCAAATTAATTGCCCGTCCCGACACGTCTATCATTATCACTCTTCGTTAGCATTGACAACGACGCGTTATTAGATGACGCGTTATTAATATCGTCGCGCGCTCCTCTGTATCGCAAACAAAAGCGACGTCACAAACGTCGAGGTGCATGGCGCACGAGGATGCCTCCTCGCACGCGATCACGACTCATGCCAGATAATAGGACGTTTCGGCGAGAGTCGGCCGTTTAATCAGCGCGTCCTTCGGCCAAGGTTATCTTCCCGCATTAATTTGTTCGAAACAACGTCGCGTAACAGATGGAATGCTCGGTGCGTCGATGACGTGGACGCCGTGTGTGTGATCATACACGCGGTTAACGCATTCGCACGCGCGCATTTTCCCGCGTTTTGCATCGAGTCGAGTGGATGTACGCCGCCAATTGTTCCTACAATCGACTGTAAGTGCGCCCGAGCGAGCAAACATCCGCTAAACGTATGATTCACCGCGTTCACTGCGCTACGACAGAATCGAGATGATTTTCCGGAGTTTTCTCATGCCGTGAGGAGCGCACAGTACGCGGGTCGTCTTTGATTTCGCGTGAGGATTGTTTTGAGGAGCGCGGGATCATTTCGCTCGTCGAATTGATCGCGAGCGCAATTGGGAACGCTGAGGCCGATTCGGCGGGGCCCACACGTTCACGGCCTCACGCCCGTTCGTTTGCAGAACGGGCCCGAAGAACTTTCACTTCGCGGCGGAATAATTCTGTTTCGCTTCGCTCGCCGCTCTCCTCGTTGCTCCGCGGTGGGTGTAAGTTTTAGGGCTAAATCGCCATCCGCTTTGTGCCCGGTTGATTCACGCCGGATGTTGCCTCAGGTGAGCGCGCGATGAACGTTCGATCGTGCTTAGAATTCGGATTTCCTAATAGGATGCGCCGAGGTGGGTCGAGGATCTCTCCCGGAGAGAAATTCCTCTTGCGAATCAGCCAGTCAAACGGTACCGATCGATCATTCGCCTAATGGTTCACAGGATGATACGACGGCTTGGAAGTGCGTCGGAGCCGACGGATCACGCGGAGGGACGCTTCGTACGGTATTCGGACGAGATAATCGCTAGTTCGCGGCGAAACTTCGGCTCGTTACGCAATTACGAACGTATTTATCGATGAAATTGCCATCGCAGCTACACTTGGAGAAAAAATATCTCAGAAATTAAATGTATTTACTCGGTGGATACTAATAGCACACTTCAACTTATACACAGAATATTTTTCCCTCAAACAAGAAGACATACATTTACTTCAGAACTAAAGAAAGTTTTAGCTTTTCATTAAAAAAAACAACTATTTATTCTATTTAAATAAAAGAATTTAGATTTAAATAGATACTTTATTAGTATCATAAATATTTACCATTTTTTAGAAATTTTTTTCTCTCAATGTACGCACGGTGAAATTTAATTTTAACGTCCGCCTTTCTTTCTCTTTCTCTCTCTCTCTCTCCATCTTCCTTCCTCCTTCTTTCCCTTCCTTTCACGAACTTTGCCCGCCGTTCGGCACAACTGATAAGTGTCCGCGCACTAATACCAAGGATATTGACCTAAGCTTCCTTCATGCGCTCAAGGATCGTTATGAAACGAAAATAATCAGCGTAGGACGGCAGGTGTTACGGGAACAGAAGACACTCTCCTGGAGGTATTCCGCAAATCCGCCCACAAATTACGTAAATTACCGCGGTGATTACGACGAAACTTTGTAAAAGTCAGGGTCGCGCGTTATTAGATAGGCGCGTATTATTAGATCATTAAGCTCGCAATGAGTGGCATCTGACCGAGCGCGGTGTTTCCTTCTGTGAAGTCGTGAGAATCGTCCGGATCATGACGAATGAATCATCCATGCATAATAAATAACGAATCGATTGATCCTCACGAGGATGCTTACATTGAAAGAAAAAATATCTGAGAAATAGTAAGTATTTATTTGTGACGGGTACTAATAAAAAAAAAACAGCAAATTTACTTATACTAATATAAAATGTTTTTCGAATGAAAGAATATGCATTTTCTCCAAACTGTGAGGAAACCTTAGGTTTTCCTGAAAGTAATTATGTATTCTATTTAAATAAGAGAGAATTTAGATTCAAACAAATATACTGTTAATGTGCCTCCATCACATAAATATTTACTAATTTTTAAATATAAATATTTTTAGATTATAAATATATTTATTAATTTTTTTCTCTCAGTATACTCGTGGCGTTGCGAGATCACGAGCCTCCTCATCAGCCACGTCCTTGCGTGGATGACACGTTCTCCGAGTCGGAGCGCGTCGTGCATCGTTACAGTTCCTTTACCTTTCGGACGGGATTTCTCCTTCCCCACTATTTCCTCGCGGAAACCGTTATATGAAATTATAGATTCGCATCTGGACATTTTAGAGCCGATTTTTAAATGAGTTCGGCAATACTTGTTTGCCGTAAAACGAGGATGGCTTCTGTATTCGGAGTTGTTGAAATTTTCAAGAATGCTGATCATTTTTTACTCTCAAGGCTCGTCTGTAATACGCGGAGTAAGTTTAAAGTGAGCTGGAATAAGAAATAAAAATAATTTATTTCACTTATGGCTTTACATTCCAAACCTCTTACATCGGAAGTATTTCTTAACCCTTTCGCTACTAATTTTGTTTTTAACAAAGATATAATTTTTTTACTTTTACTTCATTAAATACATGAATATAATGTAATTTTAGCAAAAAATTAAAAGTTTTATGTTTGACGCCAAAGAGACACGTTGATCTCTCACTAAAGGTTTTGAGAAAACATATTCGTCCTAATAAATAGAGTGATAGTTGATGTGTTCTGAATATCTAAAGAGCTGTTTATTCAATTGAATAAGATTATTATTAATAATGGGGAAAGCATATGTCCCAGAACATATATATCCCGTTGGTAGCGGAAAGATTAAGAGAAATACTTCCAATGTGAGGAGACTAGAGTATAGACGTAAGCGAAGTAAATTATTTTAATTTTTTACTCCAACTTATGCCGAGCTTTCATAGTCGTACGTTTTTTTTACTACTTACGAAAAAACGAGTTCTGTGTGGCAAGGAGAAAGCGCTTGCTCGTAAGTTTTTGTACATAATTAACACACATGTATAAATAAATATTCATACATGCGTACGCGTATTGATGCATCTTGACACACATGCGGGTTTGCGAAATCGTAGAAAAACATCGAATAATTAGAACGTCGCAGTACTACTGTATTGTACATAATTCCTCTATTCCGTCTACTGTCAATTGTCAGTTACCTTGTGATTAAATTATTCACATCCATTAAATAATTTGCACAACAAACGAATATTAAATATTAATTTAATATTAAATTATTTAATATTATTTAATATTATTAATATTAATATTAATATTAATATTATTTAATATTATTTAATATTAAATATTAATTTGCACAACAAACGAATATAATACATACGTAATTTGTTTAGATGTATTTTGCGCGTTTAATTGTTGTTCAGAGATCGAAAACCCTTTCGTGCCTGAATACTTCGACCTAACGACTGAAACACGCTTAAACAAAGGGAAGTGGTCGTTTTCATTGCTTTACCGAGGAATTACGTAAGTGCGTAAAGAGACTCGTGCGTGAAATCAACTGCACGTAGGAAGGTCTAACACGTTGGTTATACAATTAAAGTACTAGTCAGTGCTAAACATGCAAATACGTTTACGGGCGACACTGCGAGACTATAAGCGTGTGTCATTAAAACACCGGTTCGTCGTGATGATTAATTCGAGATATCGTGTAAACCAAGACTTATTTATCGAATAAACAGACCTGTCGCGTAAAAATAGTCGTGTCGATTTCTACGGAATTTGACAGGTGTGCTTTCGGGACAATCTGTCTTAAAATGCTGACGAGCTGTTCGTCGATTGACGATCGATTTCGCGGTTTTCTTTTCAGGATCCCCGTTTGACATATCGAAATGCTAGATACGCGTCTGTACTTTTGAATAATCTCGAGCGCGTGGGATGTATCCGTGGCATCGAGCACACGCGAAAGAACAATCCCTACCGCCAGGATGTTCTCTAGTCGCATGTAGACACTTTCACGGCGCCGTGCAAACACGTCGTTCCTGACCCGCAAGCTTCCATAAACCGAGCGTGTCGTAGGCGACGCAGTATAATAAAGAAGAAATCCGTGAAGCCGATGACTCGCGGGCCGAAGTCGTTATTGACCTGGAACGCCTATTTCGGGCTGGTCTAGCAATTAAATCGACTCACGACCGTTTAATGCGACGTATGACGACATCGAAGTAAAAGTCGGATACAAAGTAGCATAATCGGATATTGTGATTCGTTTGATAGTACTTGAAAACTCGTCGGTTAAAAGTTTGAACGATTTCAATGATTCATACGACTTGGGATGATTAACGCGATGATTGAAGTTTCGCAAGTATCATTATGTAATACGCAAATGCTTGTGACTGATGTTAGGATAATGTCACTATCATTTTTCTAATGAACTTTAAATATTCTTTTCTCTATCTTCTTTCGCGTCGTTTAACGACTCAATATGAAAAGCTGTGTGTATTGCTTAATCTTGATGTTTAGTTACTAGCATTTAGCAAATTTTGTCTACTGATTACAACATATAAGTGACACATGAATTATCGTGTCCGAAAACTCAAAAGTTCACTCAGATAATCTGCATACGCAAATTTAAAAATGGCCAGATAATCACACATAACACACATAATATATATTATTTATATATGATAATATATATATATATATATATATATATAATATAAAATATATATAATATATTTATTTATATATGATAATCACATATATGTCACAATTCGAATCACAATTTTGATTCTACATCCACGCGTTAACTGTTACGCTGATTTTCATCGATTTCTTAAAAGTAAGATTAAGTTCTTACAAAACTAAAGTTTACTCAATTAAAGCTGGGCCTGCAGTCTAAGAGACATTATTAGAAATACAAATTAATAAGGTCGAGCGTTTACGAGACTGACAATAGATTTTAAATTTCGACTCGTCATATTCTATGATATCACAGGCAACAGATATTGACTGAATGATTGTGAGATTGCAACATGCAATATGCTAAAGAGGCATCGGTAAAAAGCGATGTATCTGTGTCAATTGCCCGCGGCAAAAAGACCATAATGTCTGTCAAGAACGATTACTTTAAGATTTCCAATCTGTATGAATTTTGCAATGTGCAAAATGATTGAAATTCATGGGACACACGAATCATAATCCTCGAGTTATAAGCAATGTTGACTACTAATATCACGTGAAAATGGATATTACGCTATCTTACAAAAAATATTTACACAATCTTAAACAGCAGTCTATAACTGTCTTTATGATTTTTGTTTCAAATCGATACGACTTACAACTACACATGCACTATATTATATGGCAGCTCTTTGTAAGCTTTGAAATTTCACGTTCACCATTTTGCGTTGACGTCCCTCGCCTATCCAGGTCGAAATCCACTTTAGTCCAGCCTTAATCCAGCCTTAGTCCAGCCTTAGTCCAGCTGTAGTCCAGTCTCAACTCAGCCCCAGTCTAGTCTCTGTTCTGTGTCGTCCCACGTTGATTGCATTTTATTCACATTCGCGACGTGATCAACATTCATGTTTCAGTGGCGTTTAATCGATATCACGACGACAAATGATACATATTCGCGACTATTGTCGAACTTGTATACTTTAAATAGACACGAACGCGACATAAGCATACACATGTAAAATCGAAGATCAGAAAGGTAGATTAGAAGTCTATATATATAATCGTGTGCAAAATAATCACAGCTACTGTGAAAAACTTTCATGACTTCAACGGATATAATCGCGATGCAAATATGTAAAATTTAAAAGATCGAAAAACGTAGATAAAAAATTGATTAACATGTCATGTGTAAAATAATCGCGACTATTGTGAAATTTCTATATCTTTGTACACGAAAACTAAAAATCAAGAATGCAATGACCGATAAAATTTATGAAGGCGAGTAAAATTATCGTGATTTTAGTGCGAGAAAGCGTAATATTAGCGCCTGATTGCTTTGTGAGGATTTCACAAAGTTTAGCAGTCGTATTCTGACTGCAGTGTATAAAAATCGATGTCATAGAACTGTCGAGTGGTATAGTAAGCAATGATAAAAATATAAACTATTTTTAAAACCAACAGCACTTTGATACAATAAAATATATAAAGTATTTCCTCTAGAATTACTTTCTTTATAACTATACAGTACAATATGTTATACATAAAGTAATTTTCATATGATAAATGTAACAATAATATGAATCATACAATATATAATTTTGTATTATTGATATAATTCATAAAATTATAATTAGTTATTTTATATTAAACATTTTTGTAAATTTTAATATTTTAAAATGAGAGGAATGTGACCACTATATCTCATTCGACAGTTTTCTATTTAAAAAAACATGCAAAGATTACAAGTTAGGTAAGTCGTATCGATTTTAACAAGTTTTGAAAATATTCATCGACATAAACTGTTGTTCCTGTTACATATCAATGTTTATACCTGTTGTTCAGACTCATTAGAATATCACAAAGGCTGGCAAGTTCAACTAGCCAGATCTGAAACAAAAATATACATATTACATGTTCGACGAACAAATGTAATAGAGTGCGTTAATCTATTGTGATAGTATTTCAACTTATTTTCTTGAGAATAACTTTTAGTAGGAAATTATATCCTATTGTTCAATCGCAAAGGGTTAAACAGAGAAGTACTGGGAATCTGTGAATTTACCTTCAAGCCGGTCCCATTCGACCTGAACCGGATCCTCTAGTACAGCATCCGCATCCGCGTCTATCAGAATCGTAGTTGCCTTCGTGATGGGGCCGTAAGCTCTGTCAGACATGAAGAGCAGAAAATAATCTTCTTGATTAGTTATCACGTAAGATTACTCTCGGCTTCGAAGAATTGCGAATAAGGATGTATTTCTTATTCCGTAAAGTATACAAAGGTTACTATTATTATGTTAGGTTATGTTTCAAGAATACGAAGTTTAATTATGTATTTTTTACTTGAATCCAATAAAACTGTAATATAATTAGTAATATAATTAGTTACCTTCTCGATGTAAGAATCCCATCCAAGTATTTCCAATGCTTCCGATGTTCACGAAGATCTCAGCGTGACAGTTGTATTCCCGTAATAGCCTCTCTCTCTCTCTCTCTCTCTCTCTCTCTCTCAATAATGGGTCTAGGCGACTCATGTCATATGCCCCAACGCCATTCTTCCTCTCCAATAGCCGCACACACGTCTTAATCGATATATATCGGAAGTGACGTGCGACATCGATCTGTGCTCGTTTTCGTATCGAAAACCAATATGGTTGCAAAACATAGCGTCCAGCGAATGTAATGCCCTAAAAATCGTTCAACAAACCCTATCATTTGAGAATATCATAATGTTATTTATTTAATTGACGTTGTATCATATCTTATTATTTAGTACGCGTATTAAATTGAAAGCATGAAACAGCACTTAAAAGATTCAACCTCCGTATTACCACAAGAGAGCGAACGCGCCAAATCTTGTTTGACACTTTTGACGAGCTCGCTGCAACAAGCATTTACTTTCGACTATTTCACGATATTCTTTCGACTATTTCATGATATTCTTCTATAACGTGCGATATGTACTTGCCTTTGGCGAACCGAAATCGTGGAAAATGTGGGAGCGTTTAACTAACTATCGCACGGCGTCCATTCCTCAATCGACTGAATATGTCGCGTTTGAAATTTTTAAAGTAAGTAATCATATAGAGTAACGTGTAGAAGGTGTAACGTAGTGCAGCTAAAAAAGAGCAATATTAATTTTTATAACCTGGAGCAGTTTTAATGAACGAGATAGCCTTAATATACGATATGTTCTAGTAAATGATGCTATTAGAGAATTTCTCTGATTATCGCGAGTATATACACGGAAGGAAACAATATAGTGGGTCCACACATAAATCTACCAATTCGATTCGATTGCTATACGTTCGATTGCTCTGTATCGGGATTGGCCGATGATCACTTTGAAATCAAACGCGAAAAATGTTAAATGCAAAATAGTTCACTTTCGAGCAGCATACTTCGTGAATTCTTACCTTATAATCACATAACAAACACATTATAATCACGAAATAACCACATTATTAAATATAATTATATAAGAGAGAATAATCTTGCCACACCGCGAATATCGTTAGTTTATTCTCGAAGTAAGCGATTTTTCAGTCACATTTTTCGTAAAATTTAGCTAAAGTGAGGTTGGAGACGTTCTATAATTTTAGATTTGGAACGCTACAATGTGCGTCAGTAAAACGCAAGAACAGTCGCATGTGTATACCGGTTTGTATATCGGTATTGAATAATGCTTTTCCGATTACTGTCAATCTATAATTAGTGAAATAACGACGGACTATAAATGCCGAATTTCGAGCTGAATTTCAGTTCAACTACCTCTTTATTCTCGGTAAATTCGCCAAGTATCAATTAAAGTCGAGAATCTATGAAATAACACGACCTAATCTAACCTGGAAATATCGCTTCCCGTCGTCCTGTTCCTTTAGACCTGATTTTCCTGTTCAGTATCCCGGCTGCTCCCTCGTGACAGTCCAAAAACACACACGTATCAGCATAGACACTCGCGTAGATGTGGTTCGCGCGTTAATTAAACCGACGTGCCGAGACGAGGGTTCGATTAAATATCTCAAGAGATCGCCAAGTACTTTAATCATTCGTCGCGGATAATAATTGAGACGTACCGATACGCGTATCACGCGGTGCGCGTAATATTTGCCGGCTCGAGGCGTAATGCGACGCATAAACAAGTGCGCGGCGCGTACGCTTCGCGGGGTGACTTTGATCGCTGCGTGGATTTAGGAATGCGGCGCGTTGCTCGCTCAGCGGCGGGCGACCGCCGCACGACTTGTTGATAACTCTTTCTTTTCACCGTTTAGGCTTCGGGCGTTGTGTACTTTTTTTCATAACCAAACGTTACATTGCCTCACGAGCCGTCGAGCAACGCACACGCGTAGCGTAGCGTGCTTATCGGTGTGTTCGATACAATTTTTCCGTCGTGATATTAAAAGTATTATATCAGATATTAAATGTTTCGTGAATCTTGAAGATATTCAATCGCGTGCTCTCGCCGTCGTGAATTTACACTTGTTGCCTCGATCGAATAGTAGTGTCTACGTGAGTGTCAGTGACACGATGGAGCAGTCAGGAGCCGGTATGACAGGAAGTCAGGATGAAAGACGCAGGATATCGGCACGTGGATAGCGATGTTTCATCAATTCAAGAATACATATTTCCAAGTGAGTGAAATTATTTATTGTGCAAAGTATCTCTGAATTGAACTGACGTTTGACGGATTGAAATATTATTGTTTATTTACAAAGTATACAAAGTAATATCTCGAGTCGAAGTCTAAACCGGTATTCGCAATCAATCATTATTTGTCAAGTAATTAGCAGCTTCGTGAATCTCTGATTATTCGTTAACGTGCATCTGTACTTATTCATACAATAAAAATATTGATCCAGATAGTCCAATAACGGTGTGTGAACACGAATTAATTATGTTTTTAATCAAAAGTCGATACAATTTATGTGTATTTTTATATAATTAAATAAAAATGATGAAATTATTGTTTTGCGGGGCAAAATCTACGTGATATTGGCCGACTTTGATTTATTTATGATTACTTTGATAGTTTCTTCTTTTTTTATTTTTATGTAATTTTAATGTAATCTTATATTTTGTACCTTCATTTTTATTTCTTTTTTATACTTTTCGTAATATCAATGAGATTATTATCCCGTTAATAAAAATTAGGATTATGTACTTGGAAAAAATATTATAGTAAAAAATACAACCAATTTTTTCTAAACATGGATTATACTAATAATTATGCCTAAAATTAATAAATATTTGTTTGAAAATGTTATGTACGTTCGACTTCTTACAAAATTACTGTAATTATTTTAATTTTTTTTCCGTTATATACCAGATTATCAATTTACTATTTCTACAATAATTTATTCATCATTTACAATTTTAGTATAGTTCAGTTTTGCAAAAAACATTGTAAAAAAAATACAATTTTAAAACATTTATTACAATATTTCTCCTGTATATAATTCGAGAACTATGTAATGTATGATCTCGACATCTTCGTAGATAGTTAGAATCTTTAATTGATCTCTCCAGAATAAGCTAATAAAAATACCGTAACACAGTTTTGAGACATTCTTTGCGCACGTATGTGTATACATAATGCATAAGCATTCCGTGAGGATGGAATTGCGGAAGCGATTGGTCCTAAAAAAACCGGCCCTAAAAATTAGTCCGCTCGGTGGGGTAGCCGGCTTCCGTGACAACGAAATTAAAATAAGGGAACCCCGTGAATTCCCCTGTTTGTCGACTCGCAGCTGTGAGTTTGTACCTCTTGACGAGTTAGGGGTACAGCGGAGGGGCGGCTTGGCGACGACGCAAGGTGGTCGGGGGGGCAGGAAGGCAACAGGTGCATCGCACTCGCACGCCCTCCTTTATTACGTTCCTCCGCTTCTTCTTTCCTCTCCTATCCTCCTGGTCGTTCCTCCTCGCACTTTCCGCTTCTCTTCCTCCACTTCATCCGACTTGGCGAACACACGTCCTTCCTGCCCTCTTCCCTCTCACCCTCCCGATCCTTCACTATGAGCTTAGCCGCGTACAGTCGTTAACATTTCACCGCGCCAGGTTGATCGCCGTAGTTCTAACTTATTGTGTTACATGTTGCATACTTGCGTTTGTAGTGGTGCGTTTGGCTGCGCTTCTTCGATGGCCGACCACGGCCTGGAACGAAGACGCTTTTGAGGCGGATGCGTACGGCGGAGCTATCTCGCGAAAATTGCGTATACAGTTCGACGCTCGTCGAAGAAATCGCATCGGATGAGGTGGGGGCGAGCAATAAACGGAAAACTGCGACGATTCGTCGCAACTCATGGGAATTCGAGGATTTTGATTTCCGCGTTTCTAGAGCGGATTCCGCCGAGGAGAGACCGCGCTGCGAAAGCACGCGTTTCTCCATAATGTTGAGTCGAATGCGCCAGAGGTTTTGCAGATTTGTTGAACATATCTGAAGGTTAGAGGCGTTACTTTAATCTTAAACGCGAATACAGCATGCGAAGTATGATTATCCCTCGTTGAATGCTAAAATTGATATTACATGTGTTAGAGTCGTTGCATCAACTGACTTCCTCGACACACATTCGTGAACTAGCCACATGCCGAAACGGTTGGCGTACTGGCGGTTTGTTCGGCGAACAGGTGTTCGAGCAGTGTTGGTTTATCCGTTGCGATTGAAAAACGGTCCGACGGTTTCTTGCGGTTTTGTATCCACGCTTGATTTTCCGATGATTTCCTGCGACCACGGTGCTTTCCTCGTGATTTATACGCCGCGAACATCGCGGAGAATGTCGATTGCACCTCCTTCCTTCTCTCTCCCTCGCGGATTCTCAAATGCAGCACGATAGTGAAGAGTCGTTACCAGGGCGCCGAGAGGACTATGAAGCGAGGTGGTGCTGTTTTTGCGAAACCACTTGTGAATTTGCGATGATGCAATTGCCACAGGTGATTCTTGCGTGAAGTCATCGGGCTTTTACGTACATGTTTAGGAATCTCTATATAAATTTCTTCCGTAACGCGCTCTGTATGTAAAACGATGACATAAGCGTGTGTGTATCCGTTGACTTCGGTCATTGCTAAAAATTTCCATTATTAACAAATAGCATTCGCACGATCCTTGTTCGTACAATATCTTTTAATGTGACATGACTAATTTTAACGTGTGCCTCTCTCTGTTTCTTCTTGCAGCAAAGATGAAACATCTTTGGCCGTTGCTGGCGTGGATACTTCTATCTTCGTATCCGGTAAGCAAACACTTTTTGGAAAACTGTGTTTCCTTCGCGGACAGAGATTTATTTTTCCGTAAATTATTAAAAATAGAAATAGAAGTATTATTTCCTTTTATGTTTACACTGAGAGAAAAATTACCTTAAAATCAACAAGTATTTCTTTGATGGTTACCATTAACATATTTACTTAAATCTAAATTCTCTTTATTTAAATCAAATACTGTTTACCTGATTTAAGTAAACAATATTTGGTTTAAATAAAGAGAATTGAAATTTGTATAAATATGTTAATGGCACCTATCAAAGAAATATTTGTTGATTTTAAGATAAAATTTTTTCCTCAGGGTAACGAATGCTTGTCTGTCTCTCGAACAAATGAAATTTATGCTACGATTTTTCAGGCCGAATCTCGCAACGGACTCGGCCATGGATTGAAGCGAGAAGTATTCTTCTTGAACCTCGAGGACGGCTACTTTGGCTGCCAAGTGAACGAGTCGACGGACGTTCTGCAGCTGCTGGAGCTCTCGAAGCTCTGTGATCAGCGCGTCGACTGCTATCAGGGCGCGGACGAGCAGCGCGGCAAGTTGAAGTGCACAGGTAAGTTCCCTGTGGGAAGATATATTTTTTCCCGAGCTAGAGAACTCGAGTTCATCGGGGTAACTACTGCGCGAGCACGGTATCATCTCGACCGCAAGCGCAGCTCGCTAGGGAAGGAGGAGACATCGTCACACGACGCACACTATCGTTAACAATCTCCTCGTGGTTGCCTTGTGTCATTCCGTCATTCTCGATGTCATTACGGCGACTAAGTAATTTCCCTCGCGTCGCGTAAACCGCAGAAACTCACTCACGCCGACGTGGCGCGCAACGTCGTCGTCGCGTCAATTAGGGGGATCTCCGCCCGCGTCATTATATCACATTGTACTGAGTCACGCCCACGACGTAATTAGCCGCGGAGATTTATTTTTATTCTTGTTTCTCTTCCTCTTTTCCTTTACCTTCACGGGTGCTATCATCTCCGGATAGAGGCGTAATTGACGTACCGGTCAGCGTCGATGAGCGGATCGTATTACTTGAGTCTACCGAACGTATCGGCTTCGCGGGCTTGTGAGAAAAACTCCACTGTTCGACCGCTGATTAGCCCGACGGGAGAAAATTGCGCGATTAGCCAATGAGTCGCAATCTTAGCGCGTCCTTTTTCTCTTGGTGTAATATTACTTCATGTCCGGCAAAAATGACTCGTGCTTCATGCGGGATGTTTCTTCTTGGATATATACATACATCTTTCTGTTGATGTCGCTCAAATAAAATCATCATTCTTTCGCATGAGCGAATTCAGGTTTCCGTTTGTGTTATGAAGAAAAACGGTGAGTAGGGAAGATATAATGTTAAATACCTAGAAATATATTAATAACTTAGAACCGTTTATCTTACTCTTTATATTTTCGTTTATATTTAAAATTAACGGTAAATTTATGAAATTGTATGAATCGCATTTTTCTATTCGACTTATCTTCGATGAAATTGAGTATAATGTGCGTTATCATTCCGTTTTCAGACGATTGTACAAAAGAAGACGGCACCAAATGTCAAAACGGTGTCTGTCTGGATTCAGTCTGTCACTGTAACGATGGCTTTGGAGGATGTAACTGTCAAGTTCCAGGTTCGTATGTATATAATTACTAGTTATTATCACACACAATTATTCATACAAGTTTAATCATTATTAAGTTTTCAACATATACATACTATTGTTTGCAAATGTTCGGATAAATTACGAATGCAAATTACTGTACAGTAATTACAGTAATTATAAATTACAGCGTATTACTATATACTTTATATAATCAAGATTTTTTTTAAATATATATTTTTTATGCCGGCAAGCGTAAATGTTCGTGCGTAATGTTTTCCTGTACGCGTCTAATTCACTGAACGTTTCAAGCCTTGTTTGTTTGAGTGCAGTCCTTGGGAGTCTATGTAATAAATAATTGCTAGCCGACTTGAGTCGTACGAAAGCAATCTATGTGCAAATAATATTTATTGTGACGAAATGAGTGTCTGTTACTCTTACTATCGTGAAACCACACTTTATTCTTTATTCAACTCTAACAGGAAGTAAAAGTAATAGGCTATACGTATATACATGCGTAAGGACTCGTTAGGGTCGTGGCACATAAAAAACTTAAGCAGTAAAACGTAAGCAGTAAGCAAATTGACCAATCACAGTCGCTGATTTTTGGACCGTAAGAAAAATCAGCGATTGTGATTGGTCAATTTGCTTACTGCATACGTTTTACTGTTTAAGTTTTTCTGTGTGCCATGACCCTTATTTGTAACTGACAATATTTATAAACTTACAGACGAGAACGAGTGTAAATATCGGCCCTGTGATATATTTGCCCACTGTACAAATACTCTTGGCAGCTTTCAATGTTCCTGTTTTCCTGGATATCGAGGCGATGGTTTCCATTGCGAAGGTAATATTGTGCGCGCGTAAAATGACCAACATGATCGTCGTGATCTCGCGGTCTGCATGTCCGACTCATCTGCTGATTTATCAAATCATATTTACAGATATCAACGAATGCGACGACCCAGCGCTCGCCGGGCGTTGCGTCGAAAACGCCGAGTGTTGCAATCTCCCGTCGAACTTCTTGTGCAAATGCAAATCCGGCTACATCGGCGACGGTGAGGTGCACTGCGAAGATGTGGACGAGTGTACGATACCAGATGCATGCGGCGACAATACCGTGTGTCACAACATACCTGGCAATTACACCTGTACGTGTCAAAACGGATTTACGGGAGACCCGTACAACAGTGTAAGTACACCGATGAAAGCAGGAACGCGACGTATAGGAAACGATCAAGAGAGCACGATAACGTTGGCTGAAGCTTAAGGCGGATAATAACACGCCTGCAAGCCAATCACCTTATCCTGGAAGTGTCTTTTTTGATATCTATGATGGAGATGTTAATCTCAATAATTATCGTTCGTTAGGATATCAGAGGATGAGAGCTAATTATATAGCATATAAACGCGAACGCTTCGGTAAAAATATATAAATAACTTTGCGATCGTATAAGTAAGAATGTCAACGAAATTTGTTCAGTCTACAAGGAAAAAACAATTCCGTTGGTGTAACCGAATTTTCGGTGATTCAAGGATCAGACGAAAACTCGGCTGTAGGAACAGAAAAATTCCTTTATGAGGCTTCTGTATGTAGTTATTCTCAGTTGCCTCAACAGAATTCTAATGTCACTGAATGTTCAGACGAATATTTTCGACTGCGACAACAGAAATATTAGTTTTCATAATAGAGATATCGCTTCTGATCACTTAATTCTCAGTTGGCTCCTATTTGGTTGCACCAAGTGAGATTTTTTTCCATATATATTTGTTTGAGAGAAGATTAAAATGCATGTCCATGTTCCGAAATCTTTTACGCCGAAGTAAGTTTTGTTTTGATTCTAGAAAATAGTGAATAAACTCGCTAGACAATGTCAGCTTGGGAATCTAATCATTTCGACTCGTTTAAACAGTGCATCGACATCAACGAGTGCGAATACGAGGGTGCTTGCGGCAGGGATGCGCTGTGCGTGAACTTACCAGGCGCTCATAAGTGCGAGTGTCCTGTGGGATACGACGGCAGCCCCGAGGAGGAGTGCAGGGACGTAAACGAGTGCCTGAGAAGCCCTTGCGGACGTTCCGCTCTCTGCACGAACGTACATGGTAGTTTCCGGTGCTCTTGTCCCGACGGGATGGACGGTGATCCGTGGACAGGTTGTCATGGTGAGTCTCGAAAATTTTCCATCGCGATTTCTTACGTATTTTTATATCTCGTTATAATTTATCTCCCACGATACACACATCGAGTTTGAGCAAAAGAGTAAAGTCCCGTTGATTCCATCGGCGATGTGGTAAGTAAAGGGTAAAATTTCGCGCGGTGAATTGTGGGTGAGTCACGTTAATTGTCATTAATTATCACGCTTCAGTAATAAATTCGTATCACCGCCATTTTTGTGACGATCGCACCACCAGCACCTTAACAAACGTACAAAATCATGCATTTATTAAGTAAAAATGGTGATCATTGTGTTGACGAATTCAGTGCTATACAGTCTGACTGGTGTTGACTAACCGAGCATCACTAACAGATATAAACGAGTGCGAGGAGGGTTCACCGTGCGGCGCGAACTCGGAATGCGTGAACGGCGAGGGTAGCTTCGAGTGTAAATGCCACGCCGGTTATCAAATGGACCCCACGTACGGCTGCATTGATGTGAACGAATGCAGCAGCGCGGACGCATGTGCGGCCAATGCGAGGTGCATCAACGTCCCGGGCTCGTACAAGTGCATTTGCCCGCCGGGTTTCGTCGGCCAAGGACTAACTCTCTGCGAAAGTCAGTCACACAACCAATAATGCTATCTTTCTCTCTTCCTGTCTGTCATTGCACGCCACATTCGTCATCGATGGCTAACAATTAATAATACTCACATTGCGATTAACCATATTGATTAACAGACGTGAACGAATGCAAGCGAAATCCCTGCGGCGAGAACGCCGAGTGCACCGACACGATCGGCAGCTTCGTCTGCAGCTGCAAGGCAGATTACACCGGCGACCCTTTCAAGGAGTGCAGCGGTTAGCTTATTCGACACTTGCTTTATTCGACGATATATATAATGATTGCCTTTTTTTGCCCGCGAATCATATGAGCTTGACGAGTTAAAGTTGTCCTCTTTTAAAATAAATCAGTAAAAATATTTTTGATTATATTTTAGAGAATAAAACTCTCTATTAATGTGGCTTTAACATATCTTCGCAATTGTTAAATTCATATTTTCTGCACCAATAATTGATTATTTCTGCACACAGAATTGTGCAACATTTACAGTTTTTATTGCATTAAAGTGTTAAATTCCTCTAGCTCATAATGACCCGAAAATGCCTTATAGGGCTTTATGTCTTTTCATTTCTTATAAAATTCTTTCTGTTATTGTGACTCATGTTTCTTTTTAGACATTGACGAGTGTACAGCTCTGGAGAATCCTTGCGGCAGGAACGCGATTTGCAAGAACGCGGACCCCGGCTACAATTGCGTCTGTCCACCGGGCTATAGTGCCAGCCCCAATCCGACTGTCGCTTGCGATCAGGTAATAATTCAGTAAACCCGTTCTCCATTCAGTATCAAGAGTCGTCTTGTACGTGTACAAACAAGATCCATAACGCGAGAAGTATCTCGAGACAAACGTCTCGTAAACAGACTCGCCGTGTCTCCAATATCTTTGACCGTCCTGTGATTTACGGGACTAACAGAAAAAAGAAAATGTAAAACATTGTCGTGCGAAGCAAATAACTGACGCGAACCGGTTTTATACCATTTATCCCCTTTTCGAAGTTACACTCTTTTCGTCGTCTGTAAAGCCACAAAACTGACTCACGGCTCCATTTAACGCGACTCGTGCTTCTTATTTGCGCGTCCACGAGGTACGCGTCGCCGAGGCGGTGGGAACCGGTTCCCATTTCCGAATACAATGTCTCGGTGTCTTCGGACGCGACGAGAATTTGAATAAGGTAAAACGTTGTCCCTGTTGTGCCGTCCTCAGACCGACGTTACAACGCTCTGCAAGTCGAATTTTGATTGCGTCAATAATGCCGAGTGCATCGAGGGGCAGTGCTTCTGCAAGGATGGCTTCAAAGCCGTCAGTGCCGAGTGTGTGGATCTGGACGAGTGCCTTACTAATCCCTGCGGGCCTGCGTCGATCTGCACGAATTCCAGAGGAAGCTACCATTGCGAATGCGAGTCCGGATTCGTCGGTACTCCACCTCACATACAGTGCAAAGGTAATCCATAAATTGTCTTTGCAAGAGATCCGATTCTTTTAGCCATATTTTTTTATTGTAACTTTTCTCTTAAGACTTGAGGAGAATGTGACTAATAACATATAATTTCCTTTCTACTTTAAAGCACCATGCGACGAGGTAACTTGTGGCGATCATGCCTTTTGCAAAGCCGACGGTCACGAGGCTTATTGCATATGCGAAGACGGTTGGACCTTCAATCCGAACGATATAGCGGCTGGATGTGTCGGTAAATGAGCTGATATTTCTGCAATTAATTGGATAATTATCCTTTTATATAATTATCTTTTTCCCACAGGAGTTTTTGTGTATGCGAGATTTTATTAATAATACGATTTTTCTTCTTTGTTTGCTTCATTCGTAGATATAAACGAATGCGACGCGATAAATGGGCCATCTGGAAGATGCGGCAGAAATGCTGTCTGTACGAATACGCCTGGTGGTTTCACTTGCCAGTGTAAACCTGGATTTTCAGGAAATGCCTTCAAGCAATGTATCGGTAAGTTGAGCGAAATATAATTTATTATTATTGATCACTAATAATATATATAAACATCTTATTTATAAACGAATATAAATCCTCTATTCATACATTTCTTTTAATTAATACAGATGTTGACGAGTGTGCGAGGCACGACGTTTGTGGTCATGGAGCGTCGTGCATCAACACTGAAGGTTCTTACACTTGCTCTTGTCCGGAAGAAACCATTCCGGCTCCTGATCCCTACATCAAGTGTGTTGCAATAGTTAGATGCGAGATTGACGACGACTGTCCAGGAAATGCTATTTGCGATCTACAAAAGAGATGCTTGTGTCCCGAGCCCAACGTCGGTAATGATTGCAGACGTAAGTATGATTATTGTTTCAAAAGTCAAACAAAATTAGAAAAATAAAAAATAATTACTTGAATTTTAATCAGTCTCGAATACTCAATTTAATTAGAACTAGAACACCGCATAGCGCGCGTTTCACGCGCGCCACTTTAGCTTTTTCGTTGTATTTACAATTTATATTATAATATTCGTTTTTATAAATTATATTTCCAGCAAACAATGTTACATGTAACTAACATGTATGTTACATGTAACATTGTGTTTGCTGGGATTACAATAAATATCAAATTCATATGGCGCGAACAACACAACCTGATCTGTCACCGCGGCTGACAACTGCAAGCGTCACAAATTCAACTGCGACGGAATCGAGACAATCGAGACGGTCGAGACGGCCAATTAGCATCGCGGAAAAAAGGCTTTACCCACTTCGATACATTCGAGATTTAGTTAACTCGCTACTTTTTCTGATAGGATTCTTCGAAAGACAAAATATTTTAACTTATGTTTCTTATGTATCAAGCATCGAAAATTTGTTCTTATACAAAATATTCATAAATATTTTGTCCGATTAGATCCATGCGAAGATCTATCTTGTGGACCCAACGGTCATTGCATGCTACTGAACGACGTAGCGACGTGCCTCTGCAGCAACGGTTACACCGGAAAACCAGGCGTGAAGGACGGTTGTCGAGACATCGACGAGTGCGCGATTAATCCGTGTCCTCCGGGTGCAATTTGCAACAACGAGCCAGGCTCTTTTTCGTGTCAGTGTCCCAGCGGCATGACGGGCGATCCTTACAGCGGCGGTTGCCAAGAGTCCAAGGCACCTCATGTGTGTGGCCCCAGCGCACCTTGTCCAGCTGGAGAACAGTGCATCAAGGACGAATTCGTGGGTAGCAGTGTGTGCATCTGTCAGCGCGGTTACACTCGCGACCATGAGACTGGCAAGTGCAGAGACATCAACGAGTGTATGGAGCTCAGAGAAAAGCCCGCGTGCGGCGTCAACGCTATTTGCAAAAATCTCCCCGGCAGCTACGAGTGCCAGTGTCCACCTGGTTTCAACGGGAACCCCTTCTCACTTTGCGAAGGTACGAATCTGTTTCTTCGATAGTCCTCGTGATATCGTAGTGTATTAAAATTTTGTATAATGTTACGCATTCATGATATTTGACGTATCACGTCTAATAAATATCTTACGAGCAGTATTTAAAATGAGCGTTTTGGGAAATTTACAGAATGCAACAGCATCGAGTGCCAATGTCAGCCGCCATATAAGATCGTCAATGGCAAATGCATGTTGGCTGGCTGCTCGAAGGGCGAGAAGTGTCCAAGTGGTGCTGAGTGTATAACGATTGCGGGTGGTGTCAGCTATTGCGCCTGTCCCAAGGGTTACACGACCAAGTCCGACGGCTCCTGCGAAGGTAGGTTTTGTGATTTTATTTCATTATTATTTTCTCTTAAAAGAAACATAACATATAACATGAAGAAAGTATTTTTTTAATTTAGGATTAAAAGTAATATACAATTAAAAATTTGTTAAAAAATAATAAAATCGAGCGATTCTGAAACAAACATAGCTTGGCAGCGACTGCCAAGAGAATATCAATGTGCAGAATCCAATCGATAAGAATAATTACTAATTATTTGTTTGTCGTTAACTGTTAAGTTTTATTGAAATCAAATATTGATTGTTTTTATCATTAATCGTTAACTTTGATACAGATATAAACGAGTGCACCGTGGGACACCAAGTCTGCGGTTACGGCGCCGAGTGCATCAATTTACCAGGTGCGCATCAATGCGTATGCCCGCACGGATACGGCGGCGACCCGTACAACGGGCTTTGTTCGCCCGCGCAGAAGAGATGCACCAACGACAACGAGTGCAAGGCTAACGAGAAGTGTGTGCAACCCGGCGAGTGCGTATGCCCACCACCGTTCTATACGGATCCCTTGGAGGGAAATCTCTGCAAGAGTAAGTCTTAGAATTTCATTCGTATTATTAAATTAATGCAGAAGTCTCTTCCCACATTTGCGTCGGCATATTTCTGTTTGAAAAATGCTTCGATTGTATCAACTCTTGTTCAGCGTTTATGGGAAAAAAGACTTTTAAATCAAGGTGATATTATGTTGAAATCGACAGGAGACGAGATAACAATCTTTAATTATTCGTTATTATAATTTCTTTTTTCTCCGGTAAAATAATCAGCTCCTGCGATAGACGCAAAATTAATTTAACGACCCTATCTAATAGTGCTAACAGCTCCCACGTTGCCTAATATATGTCTATTGTTATAGACCCCTGTGACCGTTTCCCATGCGGCATAAACGCGAGGTGCACGCCGAGCGATCCACCGCGATGCATGTGCGAGGCTGGCTTCGAGGGCGACCCGCAGCACGGTTGCATCGACGTGAACGAATGTGCGAACAATCCTTGCGGTCACGGTGCATACTGCATTAACACGAAAGGAGATCATGTATGCGAATGTCCAAAAGGCATGATTGGCGATCCTTACGGTGCTGGTTGCACAGGTGTCGCAACCGGCAAAAGCGAGTGCTCGTCGAACGACCATTGCGAGAACTATCTGACGTGCGTTCACGGAAGTTGCGTCAATCCTTGCGATAACATACCCTGTGGTCCAAACGCGTACTGCGAGCCTGATAAGCATGCTGCTTGGTGCAGGTGTGTGATAGGGTTCACGGAGGGCAAGAACAACGAGTGCGTCTCACGTGAGTACAAGATTTTATTTTATAGATTTTTAGCAATGTCGATGAGAATTATAGTATAATCTCATTTTTCAGGAATATTTTAATATTATTTAGTTATAAATATTTGAGAGAGAAATAAATGTGATTCTATCGTCTTGCGTGTGCAACATAAAACTTTGCGTCTTTCACAGAGTGTGACGGCTTCGTTTGCGGCACCGGGGCTCAATGTATCGTAAGTTACGATGGACCGACTTGTAAGTGCATCGAGGGTTTCATGGGCAATCCTTTCCCCGGTGGGCAATGTGTTCCGGATGTTTGCTCGCCCGAAATTCCATGTGCGGAGCCAAGCGTGTGCATCAGCGGACGTTGCAAACGGCGCTGCGAAGGGGTTGTTTGCGGCATCGGGGCCATGTGCGATCCTTTAACGAACAAATGCGTGTGCAATCCATATTTCGTCGGCAACCCAGATCTACTTTGTATGCCACGTAAGTATAACGAGCTTATGAGAGAGGGGAGAGATATAGTGATTTATTTTTCGTGAACAATCTTTTACAAGAAGAAAAAGGGTGAATTAAAAGTTCCAATATAAAATGACGAAATATAAGTAGACGTTATTTCTCTGTATTAAATAAAATGATTCTTACAGCCATTCAACCACCTCGCTGCGATCCGACTTGCGGAAAGAACGCGCACTGCGAATACGGTCTTCTGGAATCGAAATGTGTCTGTAATCCGGGCACCAGTGGAAATCCTTATCATGGCTGCGGTATCCAACAGAAATCTGATTGCTCTAAAGGATTGTGCGGAAAAGACGCGCACTGCAACGCAGGTCCTAATGCTGTCGAGTGTCTTTGTCCACCCGGCTTCGCTGGCAATCCGTATATTCAATGTTTCGGTTAGTATTAATAATTTTACACACTCAATTTTAATTATTTATAATATTTAATTAATAATATAAAATCCTTCTTTTTAATTAAAATAATGTAAAATCCTTTTTTTAAATCCTTCTTATTTAACTATCACAAAATAAAAAAGAATTATGAAGCATTTCCAAGGTGAAATCAAAATTTATGTTTTTGTATCTTCTCCTCAGACGTCAACGAGTGTAATGGAAACGCGTGCGGCAGCAACGCAGTGTGTATCAACACCATCGGAAGTTACGACTGCCTCTGCAAAGACAGCTTCTTCGGCAACCCCTTCGTGGGCTGTCAGCAAGTGCAGGTGGAACCGTGCGCTGATCCTTTGACTTGCGTCTGCAACGAGGCTGTACCCTGCCCGTTCGATTACACCTGCGTGCATCATAAATGCGTGAACCAGTGCAGCAACATAAAGTGCGGTCCAAGATCCGTCTGTCAAGACGGAGCGTGCGTATGTCCGCCGGGTTACAGCGGCAATCCTAATGATCTGCACAAAGGCTGCCACTTGTATGGCCGTTGCTCCAACGATCTCGAGTGCGAGCCACAGGAAATCTGCTTCCAAGTCGGCAAGGGTGTTCGCAAGTGCGTGGACGCCTGCAGCAAATTACAGTGCGGACCTAACGCACTGTGCATCACACAGAACCACGTGTCCTCTTGCCTGTGTATCGACGGCTACCAGGGCAATCCGAGCAACCTGGTGGAGGGTTGTCAACCGTCCAAGACCGTGATCCCCGGCTGCGCCCACGATTCAGATTGTCAGCCCGGTTTCTTCTGCATCACGTCGGACGGCGATGTGCGCAGCTGTGTGGACCCTTGCAGCAAAGTAATATGTGGGTCTTATCAGAAGTGCGAGCCTGATGTCATACCTGGCCGTGCAACTTGCAAATGCCAAGACGGCTACGAATGGAACCCGGTGCAATCGTCTTGCGAGAAACCGTCCGTACCCGACTGTATCAGCGACGATGAGTGCCACTCCAGCGAAGGTTGCAGGCCGGACGCTCTCGGTGTGCTCAAGTGTCTACCGCTCTGCAGCGGTTTCACTTGCACTGCGAACTCGCGCTGCATAACAGAGAACCACCGTGGCCGCTGCGAGTGCTTGCCAGGTTACATTGGCAATCCGGATGACCGTCGAGGCTGTCACAGTCCGCGTGAGAACCGTTGCTCCACGGACAGCGAGTGTCCAGAGGACCAGACGTGTCGAGGCACCTTAGAGGGCCCGCTCGCCTGCCAACCGGTCTGCGACTTCGTCTCCTGCGGCCCTAACGCTCTCTGCGTAGTCAACAACCACGTGGCGAACTGTGAGTGTCCGCCCGGGCTCTACGCCGGCGACCCGAACGACGTGGCGTCCGGATGCCGCGCGGTACCTTGCGTCTACAACATTGACTGCCCGCCGACGCAGCTCTGCAACCGCTTAACGCACACCTGCTACGACGCCTGTGACGAGAACGCGTGCGGCGTGAACGCGGTGTGCATCGCCGACGATCACAGAGCGATCTGCCAATGCCCGCCAGGGCTGCGACCGAATCCGGTGCCCGACGTGGAGTGTGTCGCCGTGGAAGCCTGCCGCCCGGATTCTTGTCACCCGACCGCGCTCTGCGTCGCTGGTCCGACCAATAACCCCGTGTGCAAGTGTCCGCCGAATCATGTGGGCGATCCTTACGTGAACGGCTGTCAACCAGAAGGCTACTGCTCTGGGCCCAAGGATTGTCCGGTGCACTCCATCTGCCATGAACATCGTTGTGTGAATCCTTGCGAGAATGCTTGTGGATCCAACGCGCTCTGCGAGATCGTGAACGGTCAGCCGAGTTGTAGGTGTATACACAAATTTGTGCCGTCATCGAAGGGTGCGGAGTATGGATGTGTGAGAGCTTCGAATTATTGCGCGGTGGATTCCGAGTGCGAGGACAGCGTGTGTCTCGATGGACAATGTAGAGGTAATGATTTTTTAATTATTAATAATTTGATTTATTATTGATTGTACTAATTTTTGTGGAGTGTTAGTACAGAGAACAGAAAGTAACGTCACTTCTGTCTCGTCAAGTTGAAAAATTGCCAGTTATGGAATAAGGTTTTGTCTTTTCTCCAGCTGTGTGCCGGTCAGTCGCCGATTGCTCGGACGGAGAGAAGTGTGTTAACAGCAAGTGCATGGTATCCTGCATCACGCATTCCCAGTGTCAATTCGATCAGGCGTGTGTAAGCGGGGGATGTATCCTCGGTTGCCGCAGCAACAAAAATTGCCCAACCACCGAATCGTGTATTAACAGCAAATGTCAAGGTATGTCACTAATCAATATGTAACTTTGATTCTCGGATTAATTTAATATAGATATTCGGTAATCTTAAATAGAAGTTTGCGTTGATATATAAATCGTCATCAGCTTATCAATTGTTAAAAACTCGATTGTACATATATATTAAATATTACTATATATTATATTATACTATATTATACATATATATTAAATGTTACTATATATTATATAAATATTACTATATACCATACAAAAGTGAAATTAACAAATTGCATATGTTTTACTTACGAATCAGTGAGAGGAGACACATACTGTTGATTTCGCAGACTCTCTAGATAGCAAATCAGAAATAAATTAAACATTGCGAAATAATCTCGTGTCTTTACAGATCCTTGCGGTAGAAAAGACGCGTGTGGACCAAACGCAATCTGCAGTTGTGCGAATCATGCGATCACTTGCACCTGTCCTCTTGGCTTCCACGGTAATCCTACTCCGGAGCAAGGTTGCGTACGGATACCGAGCGCATGCGAAGCTCCGCAAGACTGTCCCAGCCAGCATCTATGCGTTGCCGGATTATGCCAGTGCCAATGCTCGGAACAGAATAACTGCGCACAAGGCGAACGTTGCAAGAATGGTATTTGCGTAAAAATATGCTACAGCGACAGCAATTGCCTGCCTGGCGAGTTGTGCATCGATGGAACATGCGAATCGGGTTGTACCTCTGACGTTGGCTGCAAACGCGACGAAGTCTGCATTAATAATAAGTGCAGGTATATGATTCTTTTGTCTGAATTTTTTCATACATAGTTCAATTCTGTGTTATTAATATTATCTTACTCCAGTAACAAAAAATTTACGTCCAGTAACAAAAAAAGAAACGACAAATATAACCTAATAATTTTTAAAATCTATTTTTAAATGATGAGTTAATGCGTAATAATTAGACATTTTTAGCACATATATATTTAGATAAATATAATGTACGTGAATTTTTTAAATCTATCTTCAGATGCAGCCACGGATTTATCGCTGGTCCTGAACATTGTCTGGATATCAACGAGTGTGAAGATTTACCCTGTCACCCGAGTGCGGAATGTATCAATCTTCATGGATCTTATCGATGCATATGTCCTCTGGGCACTGCTGGCGATCCTGTAGGAACGGGTTGTGTGCTCCCACATCAATGCACCGCACACACAGACTGTCCGGATACGCAGGCCTGCATTTACCACAACTGTTCGGATCCATGCTCCTCCGTTGATTGCGGATTGAACACGATTTGTTCAGTCTTGGATCATGTAGCCGGTTGCCAATGTCAACCTGGTTATATCGGTGACGCTTCAGGTTGCTTCAAAGTGGAGTGTCTTTCCAATAGCGACTGTCCGACGGATAAATACTGTAATCAGGAAACCAATAAGTGCAGCAGTAAGTTATCACTGAGATATTAAGAGAAATACTTATCATGCTGCATTTATTTGACATATCTTTTATTAACAATATGAAAAGGTCAAACCAGAAATGTTGTATAAAATATTCTAAATGCTGTGTTTTTTATTCGTCAGGTCCTTGCAATCAAGTAAACTGCGGATATGGTAACTGCGTGGCTATTAATCATATCAGCGTGTGCAAATGCTATCCTGGTTTTATCTTGGCCGGTGACGTCTGTGTTGATGTTAATGAATGCTTGCAGGAACCTTGCCATTCTTCAGCTATGTAAGTAGATCTTACAATTCGGGTTAATAATAAAACTTATCGATGCTTATTGCTTGCAACGAAATACTATCAAAATTCACAGATGCCATAATACGGAGGGATCGTTCGCCTGTGCTTGCCCGCATGGTCTAGTGGGAGACCCGTTCAAGACTGGCTGCAAACAGCCCGGCGATTGCTTCACGGATTCAGACTGCCCGAATTCGGCTACCTGCATCGACAACAGATGTACCAATCCATGCGATACACCGGGTATTTGCGGTAGAAACGCGGAGTGTCTTGCTCGTGATCACATACCGATCTGTAGATGTCCCGGACAGACCACGGGAAATCCGGCAGTGAGTATCAAATTTGTTTTTAAAGCTTAGATCTTGTACAATTATAGTAACATATATATCTCAGCTCAGAATAATCAATAATAACGTTTTAAAATTTGGTCTTAATTTAATAAAAATAAACAAAAGTTACGTATTCGAACTATTTTCGAACTAGTTACGAATTCGTAAATTGTTTTAAATTTCTTATATTTTCATATTCTATTTATTTAGTAGTCGATCCTATTTATTTTAAACTTGCATTTTGTATTTTTAGACGGAATGTATCCATTTGGAATGCAACTATCATAGCGACTGCAGTCAATCGGACGCATGCTTCGATCATAAATGCGTCGACCCTTGCTCGCTTTCGAATGTTTGCGGACACGGAGCCGATTGTTCCTCGCTCAATCATAGCGCGGTGTGCACCTGTCAGCCCGGCGGTACAGGCGACCCGAATCTCGGATGTACTCCTGTTCAATATTGCAAGAGTGACTCGCAGTGTGCGACCGGGTCAGCTTGCAATGGAGGTATATGCACAGGTGAGCGAAATATATAATCGATATTGGTTTTTTCGTTACGATTGCGAATTGAATGATTTATATCACGCTGTTGTAATGCGCAGCGCTCTGTGGAAGCACGAGAGACTGCATCGGTGATCAACTCTGTATCAATGGTCTCTGTCAGCCTACCTGTCGAAGTAACTCAAGCTGCCCAGAATATCAGTACTGCCATAATAACATATGTGTTCAAGAATTACGTTGTATATCAGACAACGATTGCTCATACGATGAAAAATGCATTAAGAATAATATCGGACAGGTAAACTTAACTCTTTCATTACGTACGAAAAATTTTCATATTATTGTAATATGATTATTCTTAAGTGGAAATATATTCTCGCGTTGATCTCATTGGAGCTGGTTAGTATACGATATTAATATTCTCGTAATTTTTTTGTTGATCAATCAGGCGGAGTGCCACAAAGCATGCGACCTAATACTTTGTGGCCGTAACGCCGAGTGCAAGGCTGACAATCACGCCGCCACGTGTTCCTGCAAATCCGGCTTTTTCGGAAATGCCAAAGACGACAAGATCGGCTGCCAACCGATCGAATGTGAGGCGAACAACGACTGTACTCAGGAGAAGATTTGCGATCTGCATAGATGTAGAATTGCTTGTCTGGCGCACAATCCATGCGGCACGAACGCTATTTGCACCACGGAGAAACACGTCCAGGTAATTATAATTTCATAGTTATCCAATTCTCATGTTCGTTTCTGATTCCTATGTCATGGTGATGTGCACTTTGCGATTTAGATTTGCACGTGCCAACCTGGCTACACGGGAGAACCGACGCGTGCCTGTGAACTGATCGATTATTGTGCGAATACGCCTTGCGCGCCCGGCGCGTTGTGCGAAAATTCACGCGGATACTTTAGATGTCATTGTCAACCCGGCACGGTCGGAGATGCTTATAATAGCGGCTGTCAACCGCCGGTGGAGTGTCTTCAGGATTCTGACTGCCCCTTGACTGCCAAGTGTGTCAACGTTAACAATGTACCGAAATGTTTTGGTATGTGTATCGAATTTATCGATTTAGTTTGGTTTGATGAAGAAAATGTATTGTTGAATATATTAACATATTTTTTATTTTAACTTTCGTAAGATATTTATATTTTATTTCACTTTTTTCTTTCAGATACTTGTGCACGCATCAAATGCGGTCCTAACGCAGACTGCATTGCGAAAAATCACGCCGCAAGCTGTCAATGTCGTGCCGATTACGAGGGTGATCCTAACAATTTGAGCATAGGATGTCGTCCGAAACCAGTGGTCTGCTCGTCACACATCGACTGCTCGGTCAATACTTACTGCTACGAAGGCATTTGTCGACGTAAGTAGACAGTTTTCGAAAGATTTGATTATGATGTACTTGGTGCGATAAAATATCTTTGACAGTATTTGATTATCGCCAAATACAAAATTAACTTGAAACAATCTATATGATCAATATGAGAATTGATTCTTTTACTATTTTACATTTAATAACGCAAATAACATGTCGTTCCAGCATCCTGCCAATCGGACGAGGAGTGCAACTTGTCCGACGTTTGTTTGAACGGACAATGCTTAGATCCATGCGATGTGCGGGCGGCCTGTGGCATAAATGCTGAGTGTAAAGTGCGAAGTCACATCAAACAATGCAGCTGCCCATCGGGTTTCACCGGTAACTCCGAAGTGGAGTGCGTAAGACGTGAGTATGCGATCGATTGCAAACACTTATTATCTAGACGCTTTCATAGCACTCGATGTTCTCTCGCACAAATGCTGATGAGACACTTTTACTCGCAGTACCAGTGTCCTGCCTGGGCAGCAAAGACTGTAGCGAAGGCAACACTTGCCGCGAGAACGTTTGCCTGCCGAGTTGCATCGTCGACAACGAGTGCGCGTTGAACGAGAAATGCATCGACGGCAATTGCTTGCTGACCTGCCGCTTGGACAACGATTGTTTCTTGGGTCACATCTGCCTGCACAACATGTGCTCGTTCGGCTGTCGCGCCGATGAGGACTGTAACGCGAACGAGGCGTGTCTGGGGAACAAATGTGTCAACCCGTGCGAGGCCACACCGTGCGGACCAAACGCCAAGTGCACTGTTTTCAATCAACGAGCCACGTGTTCTTGTCCTGTCGGCTTCATTCCGAACCCCACGGCCAAGGTCGCGTGCCTCAGGTCGCCTGGTCCGATCTGCCAGGCTAATCGGGACTGTGCCATAGGAACGGCCTGCATCGCTGGTGTTTGCACGGCTGTCTGCTCAACGAACGCGAACTGCTTGAGCAACGAGAGATGCGACAGCACCGGCATTTGCAAGTCACTCTGCAGACGGGACGAGGATTGCAGAAGCGGTGAGATCTGCGAGGGTCTGGTGTGCGTCGCTGGTTGCCGCGCGGACATCGAGTGTCAGGATAATTACGCGTGTATCAACAATCAGTGTACAGGTGAGAACTCGACAGCTCGTCGACATTTCTTAGTGTAAATTTTTTTTCTAAAGGACGGCACAAATTCCGAAAAGACGTATTAAAAATAATTGAAAGACATTCTACTTCTTTTCTTTTTTAAGTTTAAGTTTTTGAGTTTTTAGTAGCTTGTGTTGTCTATGTTTTTCAAAAGGAGACATCGAAGAAACACGATCGGCAAATTTACGTTCTATTTTTCTGTGTCTATTTGATTTTATATGTTGCTTGCTTTTATTTTTATAGATCCGTGCATACTGCCTGCAGCTTGTGGCGTAAACGCCAAGTGCGCAACCTTCAATCACCAAAAGATATGCACGTGTCAGCCGCCCCTGATCGGAGATTCTCGCATTGGGTGCAAGCAGGCGTTCCTTTCTTGCTCATCGGACCTGGAATGTTCACCTGGACAGATCTGTTACGGTAGATCGTGTTATTCCACATGCAGAAGGTGAGAATTCTTGAGTGTGAATTCATTGCTATCATGATGTTATACAATTACGTTACATAATTATATCCTTTCAGCGACGCAAATTGTTTGAGCGACGAACGGTGCGACGGTGGCATTTGTAAGGCGATATGCAACAGCGACGACCACTGTGTTGCAAACCAGATATGTCACAATCGCATGTGCGACATTGGATGTCGTAGTGATAACACATGCCCGAGTGACGAGTCCTGCATCAATAATCAATGCAGAAGTAAGTATAATCCCTTAAATCGCAGCAAGAAGCAACTAGAAGTGCGTTAAGAGATTATTTTTTTAATTGTAATATTGGATTCTCGATACTACATATACAAGAGAAGAATCAGAATATATATTTTTTAATATTTTTTTCAGTTTCATTTAATAAATTACACTATCCTTAATTTTTAATTAATTGAGATAAATTTAATTCTCCCAATTTAATTAAACTGATCTTTAAATTTTGTTTAAATTTTAATTAATTGAAATTAATCAATTAACGATATACATCGCACTTCTTCAGGTCCGTGCGAAGGCGGTAAAGCGTGCGGAGAGTGCGCCGGCTGTCGGGTGGTCAATCACGTAGCTCAATGCAACTGTCCAGCTAATTATTACGGCAATGCGTTGATTAATTGCGCGAAGACTATGATTCCTTGCGACGGCTCGTGCGAGTGTGACGAAATCGGTTTCTGTACCACCAGCTGCCACCATCAGGATCACTGCTCTTGCGGAGAGATCTGTCATAATGGAAAGTGCCGCATCAAGTGTGACATTAACAACGCGTGCCCGAAGGTAAGTTCTAAAAATCGAATCTGTCTTCTGCTATCGATAATGATGTTCCAAATAAATTAAATTCGTATATACAATGTCATAATTAATTAATATAATTTTTCGTACGTTCGAATGTTTTCAGGGCTACGTATGCGATGGAGGCTTATGTCTGATCGGCTGTCGCACTCATTCCGACTGTCCAGCATCGTTGTCATGCACGAACGGTCAATGTGAGGATCCATGTTCCGCTCATGGATCACCCTGCGGAATAAACGCCCTTTGTCGTGTCTCCAATCATCGTGCGGTGTGCTTATGTCCGGAAGGCTACCAGGGCGAGCCGAGCCAAGAATGCTACCAGCTGGAATGTCACTACGACGACGATTGCGAGCCGAACAAACGTTGCAGCGAATACGGAGTTTGCACGAATCCGTGCTTGCAGCACAGCGTCTGCGGATTCAATGCGCAATGTCGGGTGATTAATAGGAAGGCGCAGTGCTCTTGCCCACCGGGACACGTTGGCAACCCAAAGATCAACTGCAAAAAAGGTAAATTTGTTATATTTGTGCATAGAATACGTCCTTTAAAAAACTCAAAAGATTGTTAAGCAATTCTGAATTAAATACTTCACATACATATAATTAAAATTAAAATACTTCGAAATTAAAAATTAAAATAATTGAAGATTAAGTGTTGAAGAATTCAAGACATTATTATTAGAAATGATGAAAGCACTTGAAAGAGTGATTCGCTAATAGTGGCTAATATATTTCTCTATACGATAATTAATTTATGTGTGTACTTTGAATGTTTTCAGGTGGAGACGAATGTCTACGAAGACCTTGTGGTATCAACGCTAAATGTCGAGAAACTGTGAGCGGTTTCGAATGCACCTGTGACCCGGGATGCCACGGCGATCCGCATCAGGCGTGCCTCTGCGACGGCGATCTCTGCAAGGACACTCGTTGCGGTATCAACGCAGCCTGTCGTATTTACAAGAATCAACCGCAGTGTTATTGCCCGCCGAATAATCCATCAGGCGATCCAATGCACGCATGTAAGTTTTAGTAATTACTCTTTTGTATCGAGCGATGAATCTGAGGTATAAGCGAACAAAAAAAAAATGTCGCGGCAAATGCTGATTGCTCGCGATAGAAATCGTGAAAGTCTCGTGTCCTTTATTAAAATTAATGAAACGAGATGTTAAATAAATTGAATTTTATTTTTCGAGATTTCCCATGTTGCTGCTTTTATTTAAAAAATTCATGGAACTTGTATTCAATATCATGATGAAATGTCAAGTTTAACATTTATCGCTTGTCTTTCCAATTGTTACCGTCATTATTAATAATTTGTCGATACAGGTAGTTCAGATAGAGATTTTGGTGACTGTCGAATAAACGGTTGCGGACAAAATGCCGAGTGTATTAGGGACGGGGCTATATTTGTCTGCCGATGTCCACCAGGTACCAGCGGCTCGCCGGATATCGAGTGTACGACAGGTAGGGAAATAGAGCCTACTAACTTTTTAACCGAGCAGGTTGATTAATTTTATGTACAGCATTTGTGACTAGCGAGCAATACTGACAATCACAGGAACATGGTCCGTAGAATAACCATGTCGTCTAGTAGGATTTGAATAATACATAGATGTATTGTTAATCGAGTGAAGTCGTTAACATCGAGAGACAGATGTGATTGGAGCAGTATATCGCCATGACAATGGATTTTTTACATATTTACCCACAGCAAAGTCAACATATTACCTGTACATATATACAATATAGGCATACTGTACATAAATTTGATGAGAGAAAAAGGAGAGAACACATGTCACACATATCTCACACATAACTTCATATGTAGAATGTTTATTTCAGTATCCAATCTGTCTAAGAAGGAATAACAAAGATACACTCATTGCCAAATAGTGCCACTTGAATACAAGGAGGTACACAGTCGACCATCATACAGTTTACCGTCTCATAATTTAGGATTAATACAGATTGGGAACTGCGAAAGGGACATTCTCATATACCCATGCTTGATATTTGCTGATATTCACGGGTTGTTATTTCCTCCTTATTTCTGAAATCTGTGGGGGCTTGTGTTGTAAATATCGCTGCTTGCCGTTGTTTATTTCTCTGAGAAGATATCTGATGTTGAGAAAAAGAGTGTAAAGTCGTTCTCTATACTTCTTCACAGAGCCTACCCTACTTTCATCATAAATACAAAGCATGTGGTTTATGTTATTTGTGAGAAAGTTTCTTTTCACAGTTCTTATAAATGCTTTTTTCTTTTTTTTTCCTGTCCCACCCACGACCCACCGACTCTACACCGTTGAACACCACTACTATCGCGACCGATAGAGCGCGAATGCACCAGCGACTTAGAGTGCCCCAATGAAAAAGCCTGCATAAATCTACAATGTCTGGATCCGTGCGCGCTACGCGGTGCCTGTGGGATCAATGCTCTGTGCCGAGTGGTTCTGCACAAGCCGCGTTGCTCATGCTCGCAGTGTTATATCGGTATGCCCCATACGGCCTGCCATCCAGATTCCAAATGCGACACGAATTCCCAACCTACGCCAAGCATCGGTTGTTCCTCCGACCACGACTGTCCGGAGAGTCTCTCCTGCCACTCTCAGACAGGCGAGTGCCGCGACCCGTGTTTGAGTTCTCGGTATAACTGCGAGGTCAACAAGAGGTGTCAGGTGCGAAATCACAAGCCTATGTGCGTTTGCAAATACGGCTTCGTAGTCAACGAGGTCGGGGAGTTGACCTGCGCTCCTGACACGCTCACCTGCTCGAGGGACTTCGATTGCCCCTCGAACGCAGCGTGCGTCAACGGCAAATGTCAAAATCCCTGTAACGTACGAAACAAAAAACCGTGTCCGGCCGATAAAACCTGCGATGTCCTGGACCACCGTCCCGTGTGCATTTGCACCAAAAACTGCAATCCTTCCCTCTCCATTTGCCTGCGAGACAGTGGCTGCTCTCCAGACTTGGCGTGCCGCAACTATCGCTGCGTGGACCCATGCAGAAACTCTACCTGTCCGGCTGATGCCCCCTGTTACGTGGAGGAGCACAAGCCTATCTGCAAGTTCTGTCCCCCCGGCTTTGTGCCAGATACTAAATACGGATGCATGAAAGGTAAACAACATTTCTCAGAAGACTATCTGAGTCTTGTCATTTCTCATAGCCGTTACCACGTCTTTACATTGCCTGGCCTTACACGAGACATACGATTGCTATTTTCAGGTTTCCGATCGTCCAGACAGCAGAATGTCCATCGAGCTTTGTTACTGCCGTCGATTATGTACACGAATTGATCGCTTTCGCGAATCGCTAGTCTGTTCGCGAACAATTAATCGGGAAACTCTCTTTAACGGCAGTCGCGATTAGATGCATTTATTCTTGTTCTGTTGTCTGAACGCGTATTTCAGGTTCCAAGTTACAGATACAAATCTCCCACGCCCCCTAAACTCCCGCTCTACTCTGCCGGTCTCCTCACTACTGAAGGATTTTTTTTCCGTTACATCTGTCTCTGTAAAAACCTAATAATGTTTCTTATAATCAGCTTACCTATTATGCAAGCATGCTTACTATTAATTCGTAGCGATTGATATAAACTGTATTATCTGTAGCATAGCCTAATCTGAGTCGCTTCCTGATTTCAGTTTTGATACTTTATCAGTTATTATGTTTACGTTGTATCCGCAGCAGTTCTTCACCCCATGCCCAAGCCGGCTTGCGAGTCCGATGATGACTGCAGCGACGCAGAAGCCTGTGTCGATAGCTCCTGCGTTGATCCTTGTATCAACGGGTGTCAACTGACAGTTCAATGTCGAGTCAAAGCGCACAGGCCTATTTGCGGTTGCGATCCTAATGACGAAACTTGCTTAACTAACGGCACGACGACGTTGCGTCCTACAGATTCAGACCACACTTTCGAGACTATCGATACCACCACGTTACAGACCACAGCAACTGTCAGTACTTTGTCGCCAATGTCGACTATTCTCACTACGGAGATGTCAACAGTTGCGTACACAGAGGAAAGTACAGTTCCCCCAACTGAAATCACTCAAACTTTATTGGACAATGTTACTGTCGAAACAACACGCGAATCGGACATAACTACCGTATCGACAGAGACCACTACCGAATCTCCGGGTACTACAACGACTGTATTTTCGATATCGAGTACAACTGAGCTCAATATTTCAAGTGGTACGACAAATATTGATTTTGAGAACGTTACATCCAGTACATTTGGAAGTACTGATTTCGTCGAGACTACCTCGACGGAATATACGACTCGTATGATCACGTCCGGAACTGAATTTACAACTGCCTCTGTTACTCCAACTATGTATAGTACGGAAGAAATTATTACGGAAAATGTACCTTCCTCTACTGCAACTGCGACAACGGAGAAGGAATTAGAATTTGAGCATAGAGAAAACGCCACGACAACCGAAATACCCGAGACAACTACTGTTTTGGTTAATGTCACCGTCACTTCCCCAATTACATCCATGTCTACTGAGATTACTACTGAAAACATCATTGACACCACCGTTCCACGCAAAGATCTTGAAACAACGACAGTTTCTCTAGGTGTAAGTGAAATTACGGAAGTTCCTGAGAACGTAATTACAGTTCCTACTACAGAAGTTCCTGCTGTAAATGTTGAAGAGATTACAACGGTAGCGACGACTACACAACAGTATTTTACTACTACGGAGTCTAGAGAATTAACGGTAAAGCCTTTAGAAGAGATCACTGAACCGCATATGGAGAGCACCACAACACTCCTCACTCAGGAGAGTCATACGGTGTCATCTCCGAGCACCTTAGAACACACTGAAACTTCCACGATATATATCGAACACGATACTGCCAAAGAGACTACTCAAGAGTCGAGCACTGCCGAAACTGCTCTGCCACGTACGACTGAGCCGTACATAAAAGACACTACTCCATTGTCTCTGATCACCTCCGAATCTCCTACACTTACGACAAATGTATCGGTTACCGATAACATCAGTACTTCTCACGAAAGCACTGATATCTTCACCACGCAGGAATCCTCTACTACCGAACAATACACTACACTTCACCGTTCGACAGAAGAATACTCTACAGAACAGATCGGTACGTCGGAACAACCTACAGAACGATACACCACCACGAGCCAGTACACTACGTCCGAGCAATCTACAGGCAAAATCTCTACTACGGAACTTTACAGTACATCTGGATATTTTACAGAAGGTTATTCTACTACAGAACAGGGTTTTACGTCAGAATCACATACTGTAGCTGAGCAATCTACAGACCGATACAGTACTCCCGAATATTCCACAGAAGAATATTTTACCACACAACAGCCTACAGAACAGTATACTACTTCGAAACAGTACACTACGACTGAACAGTCTGGCGAACAAATCTCCACTACAGAATATCAGAGTATACCTGAATATTCTACAAAAGAATACTCCACTACGGAAGAATTTAAGACAACAGAACAGACTACAGAACGATACACTACACTCGAACAATCTACAGAACATACTTCAACCACAGAACAATACAGCACTCCGAAATATTCTACAACAGAACAGTTCAGTACATCGCAACAACCTACAGAACAATATATTACTTTGAAACAATATACTACGACTGAACAGGTTGGCGAACGGATTTCTACTACAGAATATCAGAGTACACCTGAATATTCTACAAAAGAATACTCCACTACGGAAGAATTTAAGACAACAGAACGATATACTACACTCGAACAATCTACAGAACTTACTTCAACCACAGAACAATACAGCACTCCGAAATATTCTACAACAGAACAGTTCAGTACATCGCAACAGCCTACAGAACAATATACTACTTTGAAACAATATACTACGACTGAACAGGTTGGCGAACGGATTTCTACTGCAGAATATCAGAGTACACCTGAATATTCTACAAAAGAATACTCCACTACGGAAGAATTTAAGACAACAGAACGATATACTACACTCGAACAATCTACAGAACTTACTTCAACCACAGAACAATACAGCACTCCGAAATATTCTACAACAGAACAGTTCAGTACATCGCAACAGCCTACAGAACAATATACTACTTTGAAACAATACACTACGACTGAACAGGTTGGCGAACGGACTACTACAGAATATCAGGGTACACCTGAATATTCTACAAAAGAATATACCACTACGGAAGAATTTAAGACAACGGAGAGGACTACAGAACGGTACACTACACTCGAACAATCTACGGAATATATCTCGACCACGGAACCATATAGCACTCCGAAATATTCTACAGAAGAATATTCTACAACAGAACAGTTTACTACATCACAACAGCCTACGGAACAGTACACTACGACTGAACAGGTTGAAGAACGAATTTCTACTACAGAATATCAGGGTACATCCGAATATTCTACAAAAGAATATTCTACTACGGAAGAATCTAAGACAACAGAACAGACTACAGAACGATACACTACGCTTCAACAATCCACGGAACATATTTCGACCACGGAACAATATGGCACTCCGGAATATTCTACGGAACAATATTCTACAACAGAACAGTACGCTACTCCGAAGCCGTACACGACAACCGGACAATCTAGAGAACAGGTCTCTACTACGGAACCTTACAGTACATCTGAATATCCCACAGAAGGGTACTCCACCACAGAACAGCACATCACATCTACGCAATCGTCCTTCACTACTATGCACAGCACAACTGAATATTCTACAGAAGAGCTTTCTACTGTGGTACAACAATTCGCTACGTCCGAACAATCCACAGAGCAATATACAACAACGGGACAGAGTATTCCAACGGAATATTCCACAACAGAACAATTTACGACAGAGGAATATTCCACAACTCCCGTACAGGTTATCCGGAATGAAACAGACATGATCTGCGATGTGGATAGCGACTGCACCGAATGCGAGAGTTGCATCGACCGTCTGTGTCACAATCCTTGTAAAACTGGTAAACCCTGCCCAGAGAACGTAATATGCGACGTTACGAATCATCGGCCTGTGTGCTTAGACTCAAGTATCGAGCGCAGTACGTCTAATTGTAGCATACTCCCAGGTAAAGATCTTTCTTGTCGGGAGTTTCGTATAATTGTCGTATATCATTTCATGTCACTGATGTGTTCTCTACAAGCTTTCTCCAGTGTGAGCCCGGTAATCGTCATATATCCAGATGAAAATTGGAGGCAACCAATTCTGGAGAGTGTGAAACATTGCTTGACGAGCGATCGGTCATACCACAGAATAGCTCGTCCGTATATCGAATCCACAACACGAAAATGCCGTTGATATCACGAGGGCAATTCACAAATCGAACACTTGTCTGTTCCTACGGTGATCGTGCCGGAAACTGTCGCCAGACAGTTGTATACCGACTTCCCAAATGCAGACAAAGGACTGCTGCATTAGCGCTCTTCGCATGATGTAAATTAACGCCTGTGCACGAACTTCTCTCAGAGCTTCTGAACATATCTAACACATTTAGGACTGCGATTTCTCACAATTGTCCACTCACGAGAGAAATTATCTTTTGTGTAGAACATGGCGATATCACACACGATGTTGTCGCGGCTACAAGGAAGACTTGTCCATAATACGCGGAGTAAGCTTGGCGTAAATTGGAGTAAAAATCAATTTATTTCTTACTCCACACACACACATGCACACAACTTGTACCAAGCTTACGCTGCATATTGTAGACAAGCTTAGAAACTCTCGTCACGTAAAATTCGTGTCGAGATAAAACAATGACAAACGATAATTTCGCCTGGTGATAGACTCACATCAATGTCTCTTACTTAGCTACTAGGCTTGACACATGTAACACGAATATCACTATATGTCTTACAAGTTAAGGGAATAAGTATGTACAATCATTCGTGTTCATATTTATGTATCGCACTGGCCTCTGTGATAGATTTAAGTGAAGTTCACGTTGTTGTAAAGTGTACATTGTTTTTTTAAGCCGCCGTTGTTCATAAAGCATACCAAGGCGGCGGGTAAAGATTAGGTCAGATTAGATTTTCTGTTGCAACATATAGTAAAGTTTAACATTCCATGCTTTTATCACTCATCACGTTATTCCGACATCTAATGCGCGTTTGTTTCATTAGACGTGAAATGCACAACACACAGCGACTGCCCCGTTCAACTTGCGTGCGTGAATCAACAATGCCTGAATCCTTGCACCTTGGGCAACCCATGCGACTTCATCGAGGTGTGTCATGTCCAAGATCACAGACCAGTTTGTGTCAAATGTAAGTTTTGGCGATTTAATCGAATAGTTACTGAGATAAATAAAAAAAAAGACAAGGTTCTTATTCTTATATTGCTTTCAGTGGATACTAACGAAGCAGAATGTCCTTATTGTCCACCTGGTATGCAGTGCGACCCAACGACAAACACCTGCGTCAAAGGTTCGTACGCTCGCCAGCACTGCGCTTGGTCTCATCTGATCTTAATTTCAGTTCTTTATAGCCGTCGACAGACGTGTACATATGTATGTACTGTACATATCTCACGTACATCTTCCGCAAATTATACTCCTGTTTACACAAAGCACAAAATATTCAATACTATTACAACTGTCGCGCATGATCACGAAGATATATCCTTTGCAGACGTTTATATCTTCCCGAAATGTTATCTCTTTGAATATACACATTCCTCCTGTTCGGAAGAGCGTTTCTCTCCCGAGACATTAGCAGTCTGTATACTTTTCGCACTTTTACGCAACAATGCTGCAATCGGAAACAGAAAATCACAGATGCTACGCAACGAGAAATTCTTTTTACCTCAAATCTCATATTCGTGCACACTACACTTCCTGGGGCTACATGGGCTTTCTCACTCTTTCTCTAGCGGGTTGCACTAGCAACAGGGATTGCCCTTTGACAGAGGCGTGCATTGGGCATACTTGTCAAGAGCCATGTCTAGTTCGGAATCCTTGCGCGGAACATGCTATTTGTATTAATACGAATCATGGAGCAGACTGCAGCTGCGAGGAAGACTACCACGGAAACGGATTCTCCTATTGCGATTTGCGTAAGTTCTAGCAATATCATACTCTTATATTACAATATATAATAAAATTTATGATAAAATAACATGATAAATAACTTTTTTGGATTTTATTTGAAATAATAGATCGATGTGAAGATTTGTGATACAAGTCATTAATGGTGCATATAGAATCGCGAGTAAAACATTGCAGTAAATTTTAGAATTTCGTAGTTTGATGGAAAATTAATTAGAAATTTATAAATAGATTTATATTAATGTGTTCTATGATTTCAGTAGAAGAAGGCAAAAATATTTGTCAATACAACGAAGACTGTCCTCCGAATAAGTACTGCGATCGACTCAACAGAGAGTGCATCAATCCTTGCGCCGAATATGACTGCGGAGAAAACGCAAAGTGCACATCCAGTAACCGCGAAGCGCAGTGCATTTGTCTACCAGGATACCAAGGGAATCCTCACATCAGCTGCCAGGAGATACTGACTTCCGATCCTTGCGTTCCGAATCCGTGTGGTCTCAACGCGTTATGCGAGAACGACAATGGAAATCCAGTCTGTTTTTGTCCGAAAGGTCTAACCGGCAGTCCGTTCGAGCAATGCAGTATGTACACATTTTTATACAATTATCTATGTAGGATATATTATTTAAGAAATTATTTCTCAAGGTATAAATTTAAATGACTCAGCTCGCGTGTAAAGTTTAAAGAGAACTACTTTCTGATCGTCTAATAAATTGTCACATTAGTTCCAGAAGGCGACCAGTGCGAGGGCAATCCGTGTGGCATTAACTCGGGATGCCGAGTGGTGGGCGGACAGGTGAAGTGCTTCTGTTTGCCAGGATACGAGGGAAACCCGCCGGTTTCTCCTTGCGTACTACCCAGCACTTCCTGCGATCCTTCTCCATGCGGCCCCAATACCCGCTGTACTGTGTTGAGCAATGGCTTCGCGAAATGCACCTGTCTGACAGGATACATCGAGAGTCCTAACACGATCAGGGGATGTGTGCCCAAAGCCGACCAGTGCGAATCTAATCCTTGCGGTTCCGGAGCGGCATGTAACAGCACGAGAGTACCACCTTGCTACTGCCCGGATCTCATGGTCGGAAACCCGTACAAGAGTTGCGGAGGTAATAATCATCAGTGCTTATACATAGCTAAAGAAATTTAGATTTTTAATTTTATTAATTATGCTCTTTTATTTTATTGCTTGTTATCTGTATTGATATATTTGTTTTTCTCTCTTATCATTTTTAATTTATTTTTCATCCAGTTTTGTATCCAGTTATAATATTTTACAATTTTAGATTAACTTTCCATAATGAGCAATAACAGTAATTAAGAAGGCTGACGATTAATGATAACGAAATTTTATTAATTACAGTGCGACCATCTGAACCATATGATCCTTGCTTATTGTCACCTTGCGGCAAGAACGCTATTTGCACCTCGTTCGATGGTGTGGCTAAATGTGCATGCATACCACCATTCGTCGGCAATCCCTACATGGACGGCTGCGAAGCTGAATGCATTGTTAATCACGACTGCGAGAGTCATTTGGCCTGCTTCAATCAGCATTGCAGAGATCCGTGTCCAGGAGTATGCGGCGCTAATGCGCGTTGCGAGGTCGTCGATCATCTTCCAATGTGTTCCTGCTTACCAGGATACACCGGGGATCCGTTCAGATCCTGCAAAGTGGAAAAGCCTTGTACGTAAATATTTTTCGGTCTAAACATCTCTTTACATTTTTTATTTCTTAAATATTCTTTTTTTAATCTGAATCGTGCAAATTTACCATATAAAGAAAAGGATTTTCTGGGTAAATTGAATAATGATAATGTAGCGACGCTTCGAAAAATTAATTCAGTCGTATTTTTCATAGCAGTGCCAGATCAGAATTCGTGCATGCCATCACCGTGCGGCCCACACAGCATCTGCCGTGTAATGAACGACCGTGCAGTATGCTCCTGCAGTCCGGGTTATCAAGGCACACCTCCACATTGTCGTCCCGAATGTCTCGTCAGCACGGAATGCCCAACTCATTTAGCTTGCATCAATCAAAAGTGTAACGATCCTTGTCCAGGCTTGTGCGGCTCGAATGCTCATTGTCAAGTCCTCAATCACAACCCTATCTGTAGTTGTCCTCGTCAGTACGTCGGCGATCCATTCACTCAATGCACCAAGGAAGGTAATGTATTCATCGATCATATTTAATAATTTAGCCATTAACAATATATGAGTTTCATTTTTTGTAAGTGGAAATAGAATAGAATTAAAAGAAATTGCCAAGATATAAACTTCTCTTACAAATTGAATAAATAATACACTAAATATTGTCAAGTACTTTTCTTAAGTTTGTAAGCGAATATTTTCAAAATGTCTCTAACACGAAATTGTATTGTTTTCAGAACCTTTACCTCCAACTAAGAATCCTTGCTTGCCATCGCCTTGCGGATCTAACGCGGATTGTCGTGTCCAAGAAGACCATCCAATTTGCACGTGTATCAGCGGTATGTTTGGGGCACCACCGAATTGTAGACCGGAGTGCGTGATCGATCAAGACTGCGCTAGTTCCTTATCATGTATCCAGAAGAAATGTCTGGACCCGTGCATTGGATCCTGCGGATTCAATACAAATTGCACTGTGCAAAATCACCGACCTATGTGCTATTGCTACGACGGTTACGAGGGAGATCCTTTCTCAGGTTGTGCCAAAGGTAAGATTTTAACAATTCACACTATATATATTGAAGGTGTCTTTTAAATAAAATTTGCTACAGTAGTGTTTGGGTGTCTCATCATTTTTTTGTAATTCGCATACTTTGAACGATCATTTTTTGCTTTACAGTCGTCTTCCCAGTGCAAATGCCATGCGATCCTTCGCCGTGCGGCGCGAACGCCGTGTGCAAAGAACGCAATGGCGCGGGCTCTTGCACTTGTTTACCCGATTACACCGGCGATCCATACGAGGGTTGTCGACCAGAGTGCGTGCAAAACTCGGATTGCGCTCACACGAAAGCCTGCATCAATAATAAATGCAAGGATCCGTGCATAGGAGCGTGCGGGATCAACGCGCAGTGCCAAGTTTATAATCACCAGCCGTCGTGCAGTTGCCTTTCCGGTTACACCGGAGATCCTCTTAAATCTTGTCACGTGCCGATAGGTATGTACGCTCACGATATTCCTGTGACATCTTCGACGTTGCTGCCATGAGCAAACGGATTTTTGACGAATGTGTTGAAACACGATTTATCTTTTCGCAGAGCCTCCAGTACCGGACAATACGTGCCAACCGTCTCCCTGTGGACCATATAGCAACTGTCGTGTTATCGACAATCACGCGGTCTGCTCTTGCCAGCCTAATTACATCGGCAGCCCACCGTCTTGTCGGCCGGAATGCGTAGTCAGCACGGATTGTGGCGCAAACGCGGCCTGTATCAATCAGAGATGTAAGGATCCATGTCCAGGCACGTGTGGCGTGAATGCAGAGTGCCGAGTGATCAATCATAATCCAGTTTGCATTTGCGCGATCGGCTACAGCGGCGATCCGTTCTTCGGATGTGTTAAAGAGGGTAAGTCTTAAAGTCTACAACCACTACTTCATAATTTTTTTTTCCTCATAGTCTAGTCAAAATTATTTACATTGTCGAGGTGATCTTCGAGAGCTATAGCTACTTTCTTCCTCTTGTCTCTTCTGTTTAAGCGTGCGACTGATAGTCGCTGCGTTCCTCAGGTTCGTCAACTACATAAGAGACCAGCGGGATTCCCATAATTTCTGAAAAATTCTTATTACACGTGTTATTTTTATATAATATATATATATATATATATATATATATATATATATTTACTATATTTATATTATTATAATTGAGACAATAGAACACTAGTTCCAATAAGAACTTTTCAGAAATTAAGGAGAATCTCGTAGGTCTTATAAAATTGACACTCCTGAATCTAAGCGCTACGACTGTCAGTTGTGAGGCTTGATGGATTAGCGAAGGAAATAAAAGAAAGAAAGAAAATATAGATCTCGAAAATTATCTCAAAAATACAATTAATCTAAACACTTACAATTAAACCTACCCAAGAGTTACACTCCGATTCCTTTCTAATTTGGCACAAATGTAGTACAAAAAATATTTAGGTCATATTTTTTTCATTTCAACCGACTTTGAGTTTCACGAGCAGTTTATAGCTGTTTAATGTCCTCATTCCTATCATCAACAAGTGCAACAAAAATGCATAAGAAATAAAATTGAATACAAGATATAGATGTTTGCGGTTTGCTGATTATAAATATGAAGTCAAATACGTAAAATTATTTGTATAAATAACAAATGTTTAACAAAACATGTAAAAAGTTGAAAAAAATTATTTATACAAATAATTTCTTGGCTTGGCCGAGATTCGAACCATTTTTGACTAATTTGGCATAGATTTGAAATATTTCGGTGGAATCTTGACTAAAAAGATTTAGAATGGCTCATATCTCAGCTGATTTTGTTAAAATTTTAATTAAAATTGCCAGATTTGTTCTGGTTCGGTCGAGATTTGAATCATTTTAATTTAGCACGTATTTAAAATATTTCGGCTGGAATCTCGACTAAAAAAATTTTGAATGATTTGTGTCTCACCTATGGCAATTTTGTTAAAATTATTTAACTATATTTTGTGTTCAATTTTTTTCTTATGCATTTTTGTTATATTTGTTGATAATTGAAGTGAGAACATTAAAAAACTATAAACTGCCCGTGAGACTCAAAGTGGGAATCAAAATGGAAAAATATAACCTAAATATTTTTTGTATTTCTACATTTGTGCCAAATTAGGAAGAAATCGGAGTGTACTTTTTGGGTAGGTTTGCTTGTGTGTTAGATACTCAACTTATATATATAATATAATATCATATATTAAAACATTTATACAGACTTTATGTTTTCTTTAATTTGTGCAAATCTTGACAAATAATGTCGATAAAATGCAAAAGTATTTTATTTCGTACTATTCACTTGGGATAATATTTTAAATATTTAAAAAGAGGTATAAAAAAATTTGCGTAGAGTAATTAGTAGTAATTAACCATTCGAGTCATTGAATGAAATATTATGCTTTACATCAAGCATCTTCACAATTTTGTTTACAAGATTAGAAGAATAATATTTGTATCACTGTGATTTGTTTGTGATGGCTTGTAATTAAAAATCTGTTACCTAATCGTGATAGAAATGTCACGTTGAAATCTCGATACGTCGATTTCCAGTAGAGATAACATCAACACCAAAACCAAGTGGCAATCCGTGCATCCCATCGCCGTGCGGGCCGAACTCCCAGTGTCGAGTAATCGACGGCTTCCCAGCATGCTCGTGTTTGCCAAATTACGTGGGTCGCCCACCGAATTGTCGTCCCGAATGTGTCATAAACGAGGGATGTCCTGGCAATTTGGCCTGTCAAAACGAACAGTGCGTCGACCCGTGCCCAGGCTCCTGCGGCGTGAATACCAACTGCAACGTCGTCAAGCACAATCCTGTTTGTATATGCAACGAAGGTTACACGGGCAACCCCTTCACGGAGTGCACACCCATCATGGATGGTACGTCTCTTCTTCGTTATTAAAATTTCCCAAGACATTATGTGCACCCGTCGTAAGCGACGAAGATATTCCTTTTAGCACTTCATATTCTTTAGTTATCTTATTCTGTTATTCTCATTATTATTTAATATTTATTATTACTCTGCAATCTGTAATTAATCTACGGATTATTTATAATTTAATTTCTTGATTTTAATTTTTTATTTAATTTTCTTCAGAACCTATTACAACAGTACGATACACCACACCGTGCAATCCGTCACCATGCGGCGCGAACGCCGTGTGCAACGAACGAAACGGTGTCGGATCTTGCACATGTCTGCCGCAATACTTTGGTGATCCGTATATCGCCTGCAGACCCGAGTGTGTGACCAACGCTGACTGTGACCGCAGCAAAGCTTGTCTGAACAACAAGTGCGTGAATCCATGCCCCGGTACTTGCGGTCAGGGTGCCACATGTCGCGTCGTCAATCACGCCCCGTCGTGCTCCTGTCTGCCGGGTTACACTGGCGACCCGGTGAACGGTTGCACGGTGATGGACGTGACACCGTTGCCTCCGCCGATCAATCCCTGTGATCCATCGCCGTGCGGACCCAACAGCAATTGCCGGACGCAAAACGGACACGCGGTGTGCCTGTGCCAGCCAGGATTCTCCGGCATTCCTCCGACCTGTCGACCTGGTTGTATCGTCAGCTCTGAATGTTCGCAGAACAAAGCGTGCATCGATAACAAGTGCGCGGACCCGTGTCCAGGTTCATGCGGACAGAACACCAACTGCCTCACGGTGAACCACAACCCTATCTGCAGCTGCGCCAACGGCTACGCCGGCGATCCCTTCGTACACTGCTTCAAAATCAGCACCGTACCGCCGTTGCCGAAAGGCGATGGAGACCCGTGCTCGCCGAATCCATGCGGCCCGAACTCGCAATGCAAGGTGATCGGCTCACATCCAGCCTGCTCTTGCTTGCTGAACTATATCGGTCGTCCGCCGAACTGCAGACCAGAATGCACCGATAACTCGGAATGCCTCAGCACCGCCGCGTGTATCAATCAGAGGTGCAAGAATCCTTGCCCGGGCGCTTGCGGCGATTTCGCCAAGTGCACCGTGCAGAATCACATTCCGATCTGCACTTGTCCAGAGGGATACGAGGGCGACGCTATTGTGCGCTGCGACTTGGCGCCACCGCCAGGTGAGCATCAGATATCTCATCAAGTCATGAAATAATTATCTGCAAATGTGTTTCTTTCTATTGAAAAATCTTATCATTTTCATATATATTTTATTATTATGACTTTTCATGTGTATTTATCGTATTATATTTAGCGACAGACAAGTCTGTCCCGAATCCATGCTCACCGAATCCTTGCGGCCCCAACGCACAATGTCGCGAAAGAAACGGAGCAGGCGCTTGCGGATGTCCGCCGGATCTGATAGGTGATCCTTACGACATTATAAAGGGTTGCCACAGGGAATGCGAGACGAACAACGACTGTGCACCGCAACTAGCATGCGTTGGCTTCAAGTGCACGGATCCTTGTCCCAACACGTGCGGAACGCTATCTATATGCAACGTACAAGCGCATGTTCCTATTTGCCTGTGCCCACAAGGTTTTACAGGAGACCCGTACTTCGCCTGTGAGATCGTAGAAATCAAACGTGAGTGTTATTAAATAGCTAATTGTACAATTAAAATTATTTCAACGAGACATCAGTAATACGATTTTCATCAACGTAAATTTTATTTTATCACTGTATGTGTTATAGCTATCAAAGACAACTGTGTTGATAGCAATAACTTTCGTACATATGAGATTGTTCATTTATAATATTATTAATAATTTGCAAATAACATGATACGTTATTTTCTTCAGAACAAGCGGAGCCATGTACTCCGTCGCCTTGCGGACCCAACAGTAAATGCCGAGTGGTTAATGGTCAAGCTGTATGCACATGCCTACCAGAATACAGAGGTATTCCACCGTCGTGCAGACCAGAATGCATCGTTAACGCTGAGTGTCCACCGCACCTTGCGTGCGTGAACAAGAAATGCGCGGATCCTTGTCCGAACACCTGTGGACTCAGGGCGCAATGTACCACCAAGAATCACAACCCGATTTGCACTTGTCCCTCCGGCTTCACGGGAGATCCTTTCACCTTTTGCTCGCCACACAGTAAGCTTTACATACATATTCTATTTTATATTTCTATATTAACATCAGTATCCTCTCTCACATTTTAGATTAGATTAAATATTACTTGTTAGTCTTGTATTCTCTCTTTGCATTTTTATTTTACGAGATTAAAAACTACAAATTATTTCGGTAAATTTTTCTCTCTTCTTTCTGGGTATGCAAAATAATCGTTTCTCAGTTTCAGAGGAATTCCCGATTACCGAGCGACCACCGTCCTGCACTCCATCGCCTTGTGGCCCGAATTCCTTGTGCCAAATAATTTCCGGTAATCCTGCGTGCTCTTGTCTGCCGAATTACATCGGCGTACCGCCGCAATGTCGACCAGAATGCATCTTGAGCTCCGAGTGCAAGAGTCATCTCGCATGCGTCAATCAGAAGTGTGCGGACCCATGTCCGGGCTCATGCGGAGTGAACGCACAATGTCACGTGTTAAACCACGTGCCGGTCTGTACATGCATGGAAGGTTTCACCGGAGATCCATTCACGCAGTGCAGCGTTATCCCGACAGGTGAATGAAACCTGAAAATACCTCAAAATCACCACGTTATAAATGCTCAAGTTGTATTTAACTTCTACTTTCTCAGTTCCTCTTTGAAATTTAATTTGCTGGAATATTAGTAATTAATTATATATCTTTTCTTGTTTCAGTTACGATAGCACCGTCCACCGATCCTTGCGCTCAATCTCCGTGTGGCCCGAACGCCGTGTGCGATAACGGTGAATGCAGGTGCCTGCCCGAATACATCGGCAACCCCTACGAGGCTTGTCGTCCGGAATGCATCCTGAATTCTGAGTGTCCTCGCGACAAAACATGTCTGAGAAATAAGTGCAAGGATCCTTGCCCCGGAATTTGCGGTCAAAACGCGCAATGCGACGTGGTGAATCACATTCCCGTCTGTTCCTGTCCATCCGGATACATGGGTGATCCGTTCATCAGCTGTCGCGTTCAGCCCATAGGTATGCAGCAGTATTTTGCAGTCGTTATTTGAATCAGCTTCGTCGTTGTTAATTCTAACCAAAATCAAATTATCTCGGCCGCGAAATTAATTTTTGTCTCATGTGTGTCGCAGTGCCGCTACCTCAGAGGGATCCATGCACACCTTCACCTTGCGGACAGAACAGCCAGTGTCGCAACATCGAGGATCATGCTGTGTGCTCTTGCCTTCGGGGATATCTCGGTTCTCCGCCGTCCTGCAGGCCGGAATGTCTCGTTAGCTCTGAGTGTCCGCCCACGCGAGCTTGTGTCAACAAAAAGTGTACGGATCCGTGCTTGGGATCCTGTGGCCTAAACGCGAGATGCGAAGTGATAAACCACTCGCCGATATGCAGTTGCTTGTCTGGACAAACTGGAGATCCGTTCAAGAGTTGTTACGACATGCCAAGTAAGAAGAATCGATATGCAATTGTAAAAGAAATTGATACATGCTTAACATTAATTGATCAATGCTTGAAAAATTCGATATAGTTTTAACATTAATATTAATATTGCAAAAAATTATAACAAATGCAGGAAAGATATATTTCCAGTATTTTTTAAATAATATAAATCTCGATGTTTCAGTACCTCCGGAACCGAAGGACCAGGGCGACCCTTGCAATCCTTCGCCATGCGGACCAAACGCTCAGTGTCAGAATGCAAACGGACAAGCATCGTGTTCGTGTCTGCCCACGTACATCGGTATTCCACCAACTTGTCGGCCCGAGTGCTTGATCAATCCCGATTGTCCTCCGGAAAAATCCTGCATCAACATGAAGTGCAAAGATCCTTGCCCAGGATCCTGCGGGGATAACGCCGAGTGTAAAGTAGTAAACCACGCGGTGACTTGTTCCTGCAAGATCGGATACACCGGCAATCCGTTTGTGCAGTGCGTGTTGGAAGGTACGTATGTAGCTTGTTTATCTCTCTCTTAATAATCTTCTTAACTTAATCTTGAAATTTTTTCCTTATTCCACATAAAATCTTTTTCCTATTTCTATCTCTATTTCTTCCTTTATTTGACTTGCCTCTTTTTTTATCATTATTTGACTCTAACTTATCTATCTGAACATCTCTCTTTGCAGAAGAGACGATCAATCCCTGCGAGCCTTCACCTTGCGGAGCCAACGCGATTTGCCAACAACGAGATAACGCAGGCGCTTGCATCTGCATCGACGATTATCACGGTAATCCTTACGAAGGCTGTCAACCCGAGTGCGTTCTCAGTGCGGATTGTCCGACGAACAAAGCTTGCGTACGCAACAAGTGCAAGGACCCCTGCCCGGGTGTGTGCGGCGTTCGCGCGCAGTGCTCGGTCATCAATCACATTCCCACATGCACCTGCGAGCCCGGATACATCGGAGATCCTTTCACGATCTGCACCTTCCAACCGGAAGTAGAAACCGAGCCAACAGTCCGCGATCCATGTTCGCCGACACCTTGCGGACCGAACAGCTTGTGCCGTGCGGTGAACAATCAACCTGTGTGCACGTGTCAGGAGTCCTTCACGGGTACTCCGCCGAACTGCAAGCCAGAATGCGTCGTCAACACAGAGTGTCCGCAGAACAGGGCATGCTATAAGTATAAATGCACGGATCCGTGCCCAGGCACTTGCGGTGTGGAAGCCAATTGTCGCGTTATCAATCACAATCCGCTCTGCAGCTGTCCGCAAGGAATGACGGGTGATCCCTTCTCCAGATGTTTTCCTGAACCAGGTAATTGTCTAATTAAAATAAGAAACTGCAACAATTTGCGTGACTATTTTAATGTTCGTCTTGTGAATTATTCAATCTTATTTTGTAGTTGTGCCGATGCCACCGGTGGATCCTTGCTTCCCCAGCCCGTGTGGAATTTACGCGGAGTGCAAAGTCGTCAACAATCAAGCCGCGTGTACATGCTTGAAGAATTACATAGGCTTGCCACCGAATTGCCGCGCGGAGTGTGTAGTCAATACAGATTGTCCGTCGGATCAAGCCTGCATCTCAGAGAAGTGTCGAGATCCCTGCATCGGCTCCTGCGGCCAGAATGCTGACTGCCGCGTTCAGAATCACATACCAGTATGTTTGTGTCAAGCTGGATACTCTGGCGATCCTTTCACGTTGTGCACATTAATAGTTGGTACGTATTTTTATTAGGCAAGTTCCTAAGAATAATTCTATATGTATTATATTAAAGACAGAGTATTATATTAAAGTATTATATTAAACAACTTATCTGTTATAAGTAATATTCATGAATTAATGAATACTACATTACATAATTGAAGACGGAAAAATGTTAAAGCTATTAAAATGATTACTAACACTAACGAACTATTACACGAGAAAATTATTCAATTTTAAATTATGATTATTTTAAAGCGACATAAAATTCTTTACTCAACTATATTAACGTATGAAATTATTACAGAACAACCAAAGATTCCCGAAGATCTTTGCAACCCATCGCCTTGTGGACCTAACACGAATTGCAACGAAGGTGTATGCACTTGTCTCCCTAATTACTTCGGCGATCCGTATTCGTATTGTCGACCGGAATGCACGATGAATTCGGATTGTCCTCGCATCAAAACGTGCATCAACCAGAACTGCGTGGATCCTTGTCCAGGCACTTGTGGTCGTGATGCTCACTGCGACGTGGTCAATCACGTGCCAATGTGCAGCTGTCCATCTGGTTACACCGGAAATCCGTTCCTCCTGTGCCGACCATTCATACCGGATGGTGAGTTTTCAAATATTATTTATATTCTTGATTATTTTTCCTTAATATTTAGCTTGATAGCAGTGATAGCAATCTACGTTGCTCACACGAAATTTTACACTTTACTTGCAGATACCATCAAGCAACCTTGTACTCCTTCGCCCTGTGGACCGAACAGCGTTTGCAAGGTGGTGAACGGTCACGCTGTCTGCTCGTGCCAGCCTGGTTTAATCGGCAGTCCACCAGCCTGCAAGCCAGAATGCGTTGTCAGCGCGGACTGTCCATTGACACATGCGTGTCTGAATAACAAATGTCAAGATCCGTGCCCGGGAACCTGTGGACAGAACACGAACTGTCAAGTGGTCAATCATAATCCGATATGCAGCTGCGCCGAATCTTACACGGGCGATCCATTTACCATATGTTATCCGCAACCAAGTAAGCTCTTTAAATTCCTTCCTCATTTTCACGATATTAATGAATCGAACATTTCAAGATAGAATTTAATAATTACGATCTATATATAATTACGAAAATTCTAAGTTAAATTAACGATAAAAATTAGTAAAGAGAAATTCACATTGTACACTATTTACAATTCGATTTTTTTATTTTCTGTTGCTCGTAACAGAAGAAATTATTTTTCAATTGATCTTAATTTTATTATACCGTTAAATGTAAGATTATTCACTTACTAATTACTCTTTTACAGAAACACCACCAGTGCCGACGAATCCGTGCCAACCGTCGCTTTGCGGGCCCAACGCGGAGTGTCAAGTGAGAGGTGACAGTCCCGCGTGTTCGTGTATCGAAAATTACGTCGGTCTGCCGCCGAATTGCAGGCCGGAGTGTACGATTAACCCGGAGTGTCCGCCGCAGTTAGCGTGTATGCAACAAAAGTGTCGCGATCCGTGTGTCGGTCTGTGCGGTCTGAATGCTCAGTGCTCCGTAGTGAATCACCATGCGGTTTGTGCTTGCGTCGTCGGATACACCGGAAATCCATTCAGCGCTTGCGAACGAGTATCCGAGGGTGAGTACACGCCGAAAGGCGATTTTTATTCTATTACGCGCGTTACGATCCCTCACCCGCGAAAATGCCACCGTTTGCACATAGGCGCGGCAGGTAAGTGCTTTCACCCCCGTACGATGTCATTAATGATAATAAGACAAGACGGTAACACTCATAAGTATCCTGTCAACGTGACTATTTGACGTCACCCGATGTTCCATTGCTGATCTTCAAGATCTCACGACTTGCCGAGATTATTTGTATTGCTATTGTATTGCTATGCTATTGTATTGTAGTGTTATTGTATTGTGCTTCAAAATTTTTTCAAAATTATATTACACCGAGCATAGCGCACTGAGTCAAAAATATCGAAGTCTTAAAGATTACTATAAATGAGTACCACCGTCCTGCTGCTATTATTATTAGACACGTGCCTCTACGTAGTTCTAGAAACATTAGAGCGGAAAGCGCCCTAACAAGTAGCGTGTTGAAGAGAATTAATTGCGAGAATGCGTGTGCGACGAGACACAGTCGCGAATGAGACCTTAACAGAGGAGGTGACGATCCGTCACATGTGTGAGGTGGTGGGGCCTATAGTTAGGCTCTTAATTGCATTCATTCCCGATTAAAAGTCAATAACCATCGTATATGTGTCCCTACGATTAACAGAGAAGATCAAGCGGCACGCACTCACCCCCATGCCTGAGCGTTACTGACCCGAATCCAAACCTGACCTGACCTGACCTAACCCCCGATCTCTCATAGGAGATCAAATAAATAATCGCACAGAAGCTGGTGGCGGGGCCTACAAGTCGATAGGCTCTTGGCTGCACTCATCCCTAGTCGACACGACGTAACTAAACGATAGAACCCCAGAAAATCCCTGCGATTAATTACCGAAACGTTTGCTGCACGCACAGATCAGCCAAAGCGAATCCGTCATACCACCCATTTTTATGTAAGAGCACTATGACCTTGGCATACGCTACGGACCTCCCAATAATCATGCTACGCACACCGTTCTCGAATAGAGCTGTCAAAACGCTATTACTGCCACAAAGAACACAACTCCCTAGCTCGTGAAATAACAAACCCAATGAGAAGCACATCGCCCGCTACAATTTAAATCCCAAAATAAGACAACAATCCCGTCCCCGAAGCAATAATATGCCGATTAGTCGCTAAAGATCCTAACAAAAAGAATTCACCGTCAGTTGCCATGCCCCCATACATCGTGATTAACTTGATTAATCGACTTGATGAAAGATCGAACACGCTTGATGAAGTGATCCCAACAATCGCCGCTGGTATATACAGTACACGTTACCCGCTAAAACTAAAACTCTCGGACACACTAGGTATTCGTCCACGACGATAACCGGTACTAAAAATCACGCAAAGCAATTAGGTCGCACTACCATACAAGGCTTGTCGCTTATATAAGGAAGCCGAATTGATCGAAAGAGTGATGCGAGAATGTGAATCGTGAGAAAAAGAGATAGACAGTAATTGGAAAATATCCCAGCACTGGCTTTCAGGTAAAACGCTGCATGCACGAAAGAGATTAAGTTTAAGTGAGATTTCTCTTTCCATATCAGATACGCTCCTAGACATTAGAAAACCATGCGAGCCTTCTCCATGCGGTCTGAACGCGATCTGCCGCGAGAACAACGGCGTTGGCTCGTGTACCTGTCCACCAGACTACTTAGGTGATCCCTACACCGAATGCAGACCCGAGTGCACGCAAAATTCCGACTGTTTGACGAGAATGTCGTGCGTCACCCTGAAATGCAGAGATCCTTGCCCAGGCACATGCGGAGTGAACGCCCAGTGCCAGGCGGTTAATCATCTGCCAATGTGCACTTGCATTCCTGGCCATACCGGCAACCCCTTTACGTACTGTTCCCCGATAGTCGAAGCCCGTAAGCCTCACCAATTAATGATATTAAATCACATTAAAAAAGAATATTCAAAACACTAGTTTATCGAATTGAATCATCATTTCACTAAAGTTTGCAGTATGGATTACACAGGTCAACAAATTAAAGAGTATGTAATATCACGTGAAACTTTATATTGATTTCCGAAGGAATTTGGTGCGCTGAATCCAAATCTAGCCTCAGAATGGCGCCATCACGTCAGGATTTTGAGATATTCTAACCTAAAAATGAAAAAATGGCTATTTTAGAGCATTATTGAAGTTTCCTTCTGGTTGCATAGAATTTTACCGACAAAAACTAAACAAAGTACCGTAAAGTACGAGTCTTGCCCTTCAATTTCCATTTTGGAACGTGCAAATAGAATTTTTTTTCCACCGAGATAGAGCAGATTTAAGTTTTACTGCATACAGAAAATCAAATAAAGCGATGATGTTGGTTCATTTGAAATACTTCAACCCTTTTTGAGCAATTCTGGAAAAAAGAGTTTGTAGTTCAAAGGGTCCCGAGAGTCGCTTCTCACGAATCTGGACTCAGATTTCCAAAATTCTTTTGGATTTGGAAGTTTTATATTGGATCCGCCATCTTGAATTTTGGAAATCTAAGTCCAGATTCGTGAGCAGCGACCCTCGGGACCCTTTGAACTACAAACTTTTTTTTCCAAAATTGCTCAAAACCAAAAAGGTATTTCAAATGAACCGACATCATCGCTTTATTTGATTTTCTGTATGCAGTAAAAACTTAAATCTGCTATATCTCGGTGAAAAAAAATTCGATTTAGACGTTCCAAAATGGAAATTAAAGGGCAAGACTCGTACTTTACGGTACTTTGTTTAGTTTTTGTCGGTAAAATTCTATGCAACCTGGAGGAAACTCCAATAATGCCCTAAAACAGTCATTTTTGCACCTTTAGGTTAGAATATCTCAAAATCCTGACGCGCTGGCGCCATTCTGAGGCTAGATTTGAATTCAGCGCACCGAATTCCTTCGGATAAACTTCTTACTTCTTTTGTGATAAAAACCTTGTAAACCTGTGTTATTCGTCGTTACGAGATACAACTTTCCTTTATTCTTAATTTCTTTCACGGTATTGTTTATTGACCCGACAAGCTATGTCGATTTAAATTCACGCAGACTAATAAAAACGCGGATTCACACATTGTATGGTATATAGTCTACGGAGAACAGTGCGCGCGTAACATATAATTTTCTCCACGCAGCTCTCCCGCAGACAAACCCATGCAGTCCATCCCCATGTGGACCGAATAGTAAGTGTCGGGATGTAAACGGCGTCGCCGTATGCACCTGTCTCCCGAACTTTATCAGCAGCCCTCCCAACTGCCGAGCCGAATGCGTGGTGAACAGTCAATGCCCCCTGGAACTCGCATGCATCAATCAGAAATGCGCATCGCCCTGCCCGGATCCGTGCGGAATAAACACCCAGTGCAAAGTAATCAATCACAGCCCCATCTGTATCTGCAAGTTCGATTATACCGGGGATCCCTTTACGAAGTGTTTCCCCGCGCCACGTAAGAACCACTTTGTCTTCTTCACCGGCTTTACCCATCACGCCGCACGACTCACAGCCACCATTAATTTCTCGCACCTAACATCACCGATCATTTGATTTCGAGATCGTTGAAATCGAGCGACATTATCAAAAACATTGTCCAGCCTGATTCGACGTGATGCACGTCGGATTGTCATCATGCTAACTTCATGATCTCACCATATATCGCACGCGTGCGATAACTCATCTCACCAGCTTCTCGCATCATTGTCTTCATTACCCTCATTATCGAATTTCAGAATCGCCGTTGCCAGACTATCCTGTAATACCCCAAGACCCGTGCATACCGTCCCCGTGCGGCATGTACGCGGAGTGTAGGAATATCGGCGGCACAGCCTCCTGCTCCTGCCTGCCGACCTACAAAGGCTCGCCGCCGAATTGTCGTCCCGAGTGCCGCGTGAATTCCGATTGCCCGATGAATCTTGCCTGCAGCAACGAGAAGTGCAGGGATCCCTGCTTAGGCTCCTGCAGCATCACTTCGTTGTGCACCGTGTACAATCACGTACCCGTGTGCACCTGTCCCGAGGGATACACCGGCGATCCTTTCAGTAATTGTTACCCCAGACCGATCGCAAGTAAGAGATCCCATGCAAACAAAATTGCGGACGATTCGTCTCGAAGAAATTCACCTCGTGAATTATAACGCACGACGTTCTTTTCCAGCTGCTCCTACGATTATCGATCCCTGTGACTTGAATCCGTGCGGACCAAATGCACGATGCAATAATGGCATTTGCTTGTGCCTGCCCGAATACCAGGGTGATCCTTACGTGGGTTGTCGTCCCGAGTGCGTCATGAACACCGATTGCGTTCATGATCGCGCGTGCATCCGTAAGAAGTGCGCGGACCCTTGCCCGGGCACGTGCGGCCGAAATGCACTGTGCTCCGTGTACAATCACATACCCATCTGTACCTGTCCAGCCAGAATGGCCGGCAATGCCTTCGTCCAGTGTTCCATTGTCGAAGGTACAGTCGACCGATGCGATCGAAGTAGCCTGTAATTTCTAAAGCCGCCAGAACGCTTTGGTTGCATTTTATATCGATAATGATAATCGTAGATTCAATTTTCCCGTCTGCGTTATCTTCGTGAAACACGAATTCTCCTGATCGCGAATAGCGATGGTTGAAATTATCCATCTATTAAATCATTATTGTCCTACTATTGTCATTATTGATATTGCGTCCACTCGCGCTTCGTTTCTAAGAACAGTACATAAGATCACATGTCGCATATAGATTCCGTGAAGGAGAATCCTTGCTCACCCTCGCCCTGCGGACCCAACAGTCTTTGCCGAGAGAACAACGGGCAACCGGTGTGCTCGTGTGTCGCCGGATTCCTCGGTGTACCGCCGACGTGCCGGCCGGAATGCACTGTCAGTTCCGAGTGTCCGCTGACCGAAGCTTGCAGCAATCAAAAGTGCATAAACCCCTGCCTCGGTACATGCGGAATTCGTGCTACGTGTCAAGTGATCAATCACAACCCTATTTGTAGCTGCCCAGCGGAACTCGACGGAGACCCATTCATTCGATGCTTTCCACGACGTAAGAACTCTTGACCTTCTTGAGTGATTATCAGAAGATCGCTCCATGAGCGCAATGCTGATTTTGATGGTTTCCAGAGAGTAAAGAGAAAAGAGAAGTTTCATTTCAAATTAATGCAAGTTGTACATACACACACACATACCATCGTGTAATTCATCAAGAACAAAATTGGCTTCGATTCTATCGTTATTTTTTTCTTGATAAGCATGGAACGTTTCGTGAAAAAATAATAGAGAACTTCCGTTACGAATACTTTTGAAATTTAATAGTGGTTTACATAATTCAGTCGAAGTAAAATCGTAACGCGAAGCTCAATTTATAGATTCATTTGATTTTTCAACAACAGTCTCTTTTTCTATTAGCGCTCGAGCCTGTGGTACAGACCAACCCTTGCGTGCCATCCCCTTGCGGACCGAATGCCGAATGTCGGGTTGTAGGTGATAGTCCTTCGTGTTCCTGTTTAGCCGAATTCCTAGGCTTACCACCGAATTGTAGACCGGAGTGTGTCAGCAACAGCGAGTGTGCCTCGCATTTGGCGTGTATAAATCAGAAATGTAGAGATCCATGCGAAGGCTCGTGCGGCGCCAATGCCGAATGTCGCGTGGTGAGCCACACACCCATGTGCGTTTGTCCCAACGATTTCACCGGCGATCCATTCACGCAGTGTACAATCAAGCCACGTAAGCATCGTCTAGCCTTACTCTCTGTGCGTTCAACGCGTCCGTGAGGAACCAGAAGAACTTTCGTTATTCATCTCGAGACTTTTGTTATTCGCGTTGAAACGCGATAGATTGAATCTCAATGAAGCAGTATGTAAAATTCGCGTCAATTCGCGCCGGCCTTTAATTATCGGCTCATTTTTCAAGTGTTTTTTAGTTTGTATACTTATATTTTCTAGCCACGCCTATCGCGGTGTCACCCTGTAAACCATCACCTTGTGGTTTTAACGCCGTTTGCAAGGAACAGCACGGTGTAGGATCGTGCACTTGCCTACTCGATTACATCGGCAATCCTTACGAAGGATGTCGACCAGAGTGCGTTATTGACACGGATTGCATATCCGCTCTTGCTTGTATACAATCCAAGTGTCAGGACCCATGCCCCGGAACTTGCGGACAGTTCGCTGAGTGTCAAGTTATTAGTCATCGACCCACTTGCACATGTATTCCTGGTTACAGCGGCAATCCCTTCCAGTATTGCGCTATGATTCGCGATATCGGTATGATTTTTTAAAACATTATAAAACATCAAATCGAGGAATTTCGAAAGAAAAGAAAATTAGTAGAATTAGTTTAACGATCGAAAATCAGTATTTCATATTTAAGTATTTCAATTGCATTGAATTATCTCCTATGACATAAAATTTATTAATGTTATCAGGATTTGATCTTCGCAGAATTGTCCAGTTATTTGCCTATTTTTATTCCATTCGCGTTCGTTTATTTCATTTAGCTTGAATCTTTTGTTCGTGCTTCAACCTGAGTATTATATCCTTTTTTTTTTTTTAAGATTTGCAAATCATGTACATTATCCCTTTCGATTATTGTAGTTGACATTCCCAAGGATGTCTGCAATCCATCGCCTTGCGGGCCCAACAGTCAGTGTCGCGTTAATAACAATCAGGCGGTCTGTTCTTGCTTGCCGACATATATCGGTAGCCCACCAGTATGTCGTCCCGAATGCGTGACAAGCTCGGATTGTTCACTCGCGCTTGCTTGCGTGAATCAAAAATGCCAAGATCCCTGTCCCGGCTCCTGCGGCAGGAACTCAAACTGCAAAGTCGTCAAACACAGTCCAATCTGCTCCTGCAGGAACGGCTATACCGGCGATCCATTTACCGTTTGCTTCCAAACGCCTGGTATGAACTTTGACTCTTGTCTAATATTAATTATATCCTTTTTTTATAATGGTTAGGTTTCAATGTATTTAATTGTATAAGTAAGCTCAGATCTCGATATAGCGTTCGTGTCAAAAGCAGCGCACGTTATTTCGAAATTATGTATTATAACGAATGCTAAGAGACATGATATTTCCCTTCACGATGCTCTCGACTTATCGAATCTGATTTCTGGCACAGTAAGAACTAATTCCTCTTGCCCGTACTGCCAATCGGAAGAATGCCGTAACGAGATTCGAGTGTACTGTACTCAATTAATTAGAGTTTTACTATTCCCAAACTATTTATTGTCGTAATTGCAGTGAGCCCACCCGTTGTAAGTGACGTCGTGAGAGACCCATGTGTACCGTCACCCTGCGGCGCATTCTCCGAATGTCGCGATATAGGAGGAGTACCGTCGTGCTCTTGTTTGCCGACCTACAGAGGCAGCCCACCGAATTGTAAACCAGAATGCACTATCAATACAGAGTGTCCGGCTAATATGGCCTGCATGCAGCAAAAGTGTAGGGATCCTTGTCCAGGCTCGTGTGGCATACTGGCCGAATGTAGCGTCGTTAATCACGTGCCGATTTGCTCGTGTCTGTCCGGCTACACCGGTGATCCTTTCACCAGTTGTACCTTAAGTCCAAGTAAGATTCTTCATCGGTTGATCACGCCTTCGTTATTGTTCCTTAACAGGGCATTTATTCTTCTTTCGTACGATGATATTATAGCTGTCAGTCCCGTTGAAAAAGATCCATGCACACCCACACCATGTGGATCCAATGCGCAGTGCAACAGAGGAGTCTGTACTTGCATAGCAGAACATTTCGGAGATCCTTACAGCGGTTGTCGGCCGGAATGCGTGTTGAACAATGACTGCACAAATACGCGAGCATGCGTGCGAAACAAATGTGTGGATCCTTGCCCGGGTGTTTGCGGCCAAAACGCTGTGTGCAACGTGTACAATCACGTTCCTATGTGCAGTTGCTCCGCAGGAATGGACGGAAACGCTTTCGTTCTATGTTCTCCCGTTCCAGGTATTTTTTCCGAAATCCTGAATATAGGTATTAACTTATCGAAATTAAAGATCTGTGATCCCGTCTGGGATTAAATGAGTATCTAAATGTTGTTTACACTCGCGGATTTTGAAGTTTTTACAGTCAGATCTTTTTTCATTTGTACTTGAGATTTTTTCCTAATCGCGTGTTACAGCACCCACTATTAGAGACCCGTGTAATCCATCTCCGTGCGGTCCAAACAGTCAATGTCGACAGAATAATATGCAGGCTGTATGCAGTTGCATAAGCGGCTTTGTCGGAGCGCCGCCGACTTGCCGACCCGAGTGCGTAATTAGCTCGGATTGTCCAAAGAGCGAGGCGTGTACGAACCAGAAATGTCGGGATCCTTGTCCCGGAAGTTGCGGACGCAACGCAATTTGCAACGTCATTAATCACAATCCTATTTGCATGTGCCGTGCCGGAATGACGGGGGATCCGTTTATCAATTGCTTCCCAATCCGTAAGGCTCTCTCAAAGATATTTTTAAACTTGAAATTTCCGTGATTTGTTTCAATTGACTATTTCAGAAATTCTCTTTGAACGAAGCTCACTTAATTAACCGTCATTATCTTTAAAGCTGAGAACCCGTTACCCGTGGTCAATCCCTGTCAACCATCGCCGTGTGGACTAAACTCGCAATGTCAAGTAATCAATGACCAATCCTCTTGCTCATGCTTGCAAGAATTTATCGGATCACCCCCGAACTGTCGATACGAATGCGTCAGCAACGGCGAGTGTTCGAACAAAATGGCCTGCGTCAATCAGAAATGTCGTGATCCATGCATTGGCGCTTGTGGACTCAATGCCATTTGCAATGTTGTTAGCCACACGCCTATGTGCGCGTGCACAACCGGTTACACTGGCGATCCGTTTACGCAGTGCTCTCCCCAACAATGTAAGAAAAAGATTGAATTATTCAAACGTAACACTTGAAAAATTTCCACACATCAAATATTAATTTAGAGAGTATTTTTCTTTCGTTTTTGAAAATTTTTAGGAATTGACTTGGATGAAACTTTTTACTTTAAATCATTACAAAATCGGGAATCAAGATTTACCAATGGACAAATTCACTCTTTAATCGTCGTCGCACTTTTATTTTAGTCGACATACAGCCTAGCATATCAACACCGTGCACCCCATCTCCGTGCGGCGCGAATGCAGTCTGCAGAGTTCAGCAGAACGCGGGTTCTTGCACATGCTCGATCGATTATATCGGCAATCCTTACGAAGGTTGCAGGCCTGAGTGCACCCTTAATTCGGATTGTCCGTCCAATCAAGCGTGCATTGGTCTAAAATGCAAAGACCCGTGTCCAGGAACCTGCGGCCAGAACGCGCAGTGCTACGTGATCAATCACGCGCCAACTTGCACTTGCTTCGAGCGATACACGGGAAATCCATTTATATTCTGCAATCTTATCGTCGAAGCCCGTAAGAGATTACTTAAACTTTCACTTGTCTCCGGGTCGATCATATGGTTAAAATTGATTTTCTTACAGCGATTATATCAGATAATGTCAATCCCTGCCAGCCATCTCCTTGCGGACCATATAGTCAATGCAGAGAGAGCAACGGCCAAGCCGTTTGCTCGTGCCTTCCAACTTACATAGGCGCACCGCCCGGTTGCAAACCGGAGTGCACAGTTAGCACGGATTGCGCAACGAATCGCGCTTGCGAGAATAACAAGTGTGTCGACCCCTGTCCTAACTCGTGCGGCCAAGGCACGACGTGCAGAGTTGTGAATCATAGCCCGATATGCATGTGCAAACCGGGATTCAGCGGCGATCCATTCACGCGCTGCTCATTCATTCCACGTAAGCGGAGAGCAAATTTTACTATAATCAAGATTTTCATCTCTCAGTTCATTATGTTTTGAATTTCAAAGAAGATTTCAAATACGTTATTGATTGAAATTGTTTCCTTCCTTCTTTCTATGAAATGGTGATATAACTTCGTTTACAGTCTGAAGTATCAAATTTATTTTTCGTTTCAATATCCCAACTATCATTATGTGGAATATTTTCAATCAAACAATTTCCATAGTCAGTTTTTATTTAGGAAAAGAAACATCTTTTTTAGCTCTGTTACAAAAATTCAATGATTCTACTTTAAATTTTAGCTGCCCCGTTACCAAGCCCGCCTTCGGACCCTTGCTTCCCCTCTCCTTGTGGGCCCAATTCGCAATGCCGCAATATTAACGGTTACCCATCGTGCTCCTGTATGATAAATTACATCGGTACACCGCCAAATTGTCGCCCCGAATGCGTCATACCCGCTGATTGCCCGAGCAATCAGGCTTGCATCCGCGAAAAGTGTCAGGATCCCTGCCCAGGCTCCTGCGGTCTATATGCTGATTGCACTGTTCACAATCACATTCCAACCTGCAGATGTATAGAGGGTTACACTGGCGATCCGTTTATCGGTTGTCAGTCTGTGCCAATCAGTAAGTTCTTTCGAAATATTTTCAATTTATTGCAACCATACATCTCGCTGGGACGCGAATTGAATTTGCAATTGTTATGACGTAGAAGACGAAGCGCCAGTAATTGACCCATGCAGTAAGTCACCCTGTGGACCAAACGCTCGATGCAATAATGGCCTTTGCACTTGCATTCCCGAGTACTTCGGCGACCCGTACGCCGGTTGTAGACCGGAGTGTGTACTTAGTACGGATTGCTCAACCGACAAAGCGTGCATACGCAACAAATGTGTAGACCCTTGCCCGGGTACTTGCGGACAAAACAGCTTGTGCAACATGATCAATCACACGCCGATGTGCAGTTGCCCGCCCGGTACTGTCGGGAACGCGTTCATTTCTTGCGACGTAATGAAAGGTACGGTAATAACGGTAATAAAACCTTAACGCCCGACGCAGCTTATATTTGAAAATATATTGACGTATCGCTCTATCGTATAGTTCTTCCGGAAACGAGACCATGCAACCCGAACCCTTGCGGTCCAAACAGCATATGTCGAGAATCAAACGGACACGCCGTATGCACTTGTGCTCCTGAATTCCTTGGCTCACCGCCTCTTTGCCGACCCGAGTGTACTCTCAGCTCCGATTGCCGACAGAACGAAGCCTGTGCCAATCAGAAATGTAAAGATCCTTGTCCCGGTACATGCGGCATCCAAGCAAGATGCGTGGTCGTGAATCACAACCCCGTCTGCTCGTGTCCCGAACGTTACACGGGCGACCCGTTCATCAAATGCGACGTGCTAAGTAAGACCACCTCGATTCGAAGTAAAGTCTTGCCCGACTCTTGATCACCCGCTATAAAGAAACATGTCTTGTTACCCTCCAGTACCAGTAGTGCCCGTGAATCCCTGTCAACCTTCGCCCTGCGGTCCGTACGCTACATGCCAGGTCATAAACGATTTGCCGTCCTGCTCGTGCTTGCCCGAATACAAAGGCTCGCCCCCGAATTGCCGACCCGAATGTATCTCCAACCCCGAGTGCCCCAGCCACCAGAGTTGCGTGCGGCAAAAGTGCAAGGACCCCTGCCCAGGTCTATGCGGGGAGAGTGCGGAGTGCCACGTGGTGCAGCATGTGCCTCATTGCGTCTGTTCCTACGGTCTCACCGGCGACCCATACACGCGCTGCTCGGTGATACGTAAGAGGAATTTCGAGACTGATTAATCTCACACGCGCTACATATACACACAAACCTTTGTATGGCGTTCGCTTAATCCCGCCGCCCTTTACACTGTTTTAGCGAACAAAGTGGAGCCGGAACCCTCGCCCTGCGCGATCTTTGAATGCGGCGCGAACGCGATATGTAGAGAACGAGACGGCGTCGCGGTTTGCCAATGCACCGCTAACTACATTGGCAATCCGTACTTAGCATGCCGACCCGAATGCGTCATTAATCCCGACTGTTCGTCCAATTTGATGTGCGTGAGAAACAAGTGCGTCAATCCCTGCGCGGGCATGTGCGGTTATAACGCCGAGTGCACGGTTGTCAATCACCAACCGATGTGCACGTGCCTTCCCGGATATACCGGAGATCCCTTCAGCAATTGTCTCATAAATCGTAAGTGTTGCGCTGATCAGATTCCGATCCTATTCAGCGGAGATGATTTGCATTCAATCAGACTTTTTAAAATTTAATTTTGTTTCTTTTTCCTCATTAGTGGTTCTTTATATCTGCAACAAATATCAAGATTTAGACAATATACAAAATGAAATTAATTTTTTTAAATTTTTTAAAATACTGTTTTAATATGAAAAAAACTTATAGTTTTGATATGATTTTTGAAATTTGAATTTTATTATTCAAAATTTTCAGAGAAACTGCGTTCTCGTATTATTATTCCTACGTTCGTACTTTCAATTCTAATAGACAAGTAAAATTTTAAAAGCATTGGTATTTGAATAATTCACAATCTGATAATTTTGTAAAATAATATTAAGAATTGGAATTTATTACAATTGGACGCATGTGTATTTATGTTCCCATATTATATTAACCAAACAAATCTTTCTTAGAAATAGTCAAAGATGAGAATGTTTGCTCCCCGTCACCTTGCGGACCCAACAGCAAATGCAAAGAAGTATCTGGACAGGCGGTCTGTTCGTGCCTGCCAAGTTACGTTGGAACTCCACCTGCGTGTAGGCCCGAATGTGTCGCTAGCTCAGAATGTCCCTCGCAGTTAGCGTGCAAGGACTACAAATGCGTGAATCCTTGCCCCAGCCCGTGCGGACTTAATACCAATTGCGTGGTCGTTAATCACAGCCCCATCTGCAGTTGTATGTCCGGTTACAGCGGAGACCCGTTCACCATATGCACATCGATTCCACGTAAGACCTCGTTGACAAATTCCTCGTCCGATTGAACCCGCGCCGCCATGCCTTGTTCGCGCATGTCGCACCACTGCAACCGCTATCAAACGTAACTCCAAACGTCTTTCAGCTGTGACTCCACCAGGCCCGATAGAGAGAGACCCATGCATACCATCCCCGTGCGGTAGTTTCTCCCAATGTAGGAACATCGGCGGCTCACCCGCCTGTACCTGCCTGGAGAATTACATGGGTCAGCCGCCTAATTGCAGACCCGAGTGCACTATACACTCGGAGTGCTCGAGCGATAAGGCCTGCGTCAACATGAAGTGCGTGGACCCCTGTCCGGGCTCGTGCGGCACCAATGCCCTGTGCTCGGTGATTAACCACATTCCCACATGCAGATGTCCCGAGGGTTACACCGGCAACACGTTTACCCTCTGCGAGTTGTTGCCAGCGACACGTAAGCATTTCACCGGAGCGGTCTTGCGTTTCAGACCTTGAGGCCTTGTGTCATGATTCAGGTCCCATTAAACAGCACCTCTACGTGAATATACCGATTGTATTTTGCAGCAATCCCGTCACCAGTCGAAGACGCCTGCGTCCCGTCACCCTGTGGCCCCAACGCGGAATGCTTCGACGGTATCTGTACCTGTCTGCCTGAGTTCCGAGGAGATCCCTTCGTAGGTTGCCGGCCGGAATGCGTCCTAAATACCGATTGTCCCCGCGACAGAGCTTGCGTGCGCAACAAGTGCATGGACCCTTGCCCGGGAGCTTGCGCTTTTAACGCGTTGTGCACCGTGATCGGTCACGTTCCCATGTGCAGTTGTCCCGGAAATATGACCGGCAATGCGTTCAGTCAATGCACACCTATACAAGGTACACATTTAAGAACCCGTCGGCCACACGATGAGGTTGTAACTCTAATCCGCAACTCTAATTCGACGTTATGCAATTATGCGAAACAACCACACACGCGAGACATTGCCGCCGACATTGAATATACTCGTTATGTTTTGTGTGTCAGACATGCCACCCGCTAATCCCTGCGGCCTTTCACCCTGCGGACCTAACAGCGAATGCCGCGTTGTAAACAACCAAGCGGTCTGCTCCTGCATAAGAGGATACCTAGGTAGTCCTCCGACTTGCAGACCTGAATGCATAGTCAGTACGGATTGTCCGCAGAACGAGGCGTGTAACAACCAGAAATGTACGAACCCTTGCCTGGGAAGTTGCGGTATCGACGCGTTGTGTCACGTGGTGAATCACAATCCCATCTGCATTTGCCCTCCCTCCCAAACAGGCGATCCCTTCGTTAGGTGTATCAATCAACCACGTAAGTACCGTTCGCCTTTCTTTCAGACGACCGATCGAATACGATTCCGTAATCGTCCGGAAATATCACTGGCACTTCTTCTCGTTGTGCTGTCCTACATGTCGAGATTCGAACCTTCTAGCGCCCGCACCAGCTCCTCCCACGCCATGTGAACCGTCCACCTGTGGTCCCAACTCGAAATGCCGGCCGTTCGACGGCATATCTCTGTGCTCGTGTCTGCCTGGTTTCATCGGCAGCCCGCCTAATTGCAGAGCGGGATGCGCCAGTAACAGCGAGTGCTCCAATCACTTAGCCTGCATCAATCAGAAGTGCCAAGATCCGTGCGTCGGTTCTTGCGGCGCGAACGCCAATTGTCACGTAGTCAGTCACACCCCGATGTGTACCTGCGTGAATGGTTACACCGGCGATCCATTCACGCAATGCGTTTTTAGGGAGCGTAAGTACAGTTCGGAGACTGAAATGGGTGTGATCTCGACGAGCTCGATGCTCGCTTCCTCGCATTGTGTCGACACGAGTCAAAAGCCGCCGAAATTACATCGATTTCAGCATCATTCATTTTCACATGAGAACATTCATGTCTCGTCCTCGAAGATCCCGTGTTCATGAATGTCATTTTTCAGCCACACCACTGCCACCCGCGCCTGTTGATCCTTGCACTCCTTCTCCTTGCGGCTCTAATGCGATGTGCAAAGAGTTCAACGGAGCCGGTTCGTGCACGTGTCTACCAAATTACACCGGTAACCCGTACGAAGGATGCAGGCCGGAGTGCGTGTTAAACACGGATTGTCCCGCCAATCTAGCTTGCATAAATATGAAGTGCAGAGACCCGTGTCCGGGATCGTGCGGACGCAACGCGTTGTGTCAAGTGGTCAACCACTTACCGGTCTGCAACTGTTACCCCAAATACACCGGCAACGCCTTCTTGTATTGCAGCCCGATAGAGATAGGTACGATATTATTAATCCGGAATTCAATTTGCGCCTTCTCCTCCTTCCGCGATCGCGAACTCGTTCGATTGATCACGAAATGCGCGATGTGATTTTTAGAAAGTGACGACGCCGTTAGTCGTCCCTGCGAGCCGTCGCCCTGCGGACTCAATAGCAAGTGCCGCGTTGTGGACCACACGAGCGTGTGCACTTGCTTGCCCACCTTCCTGGGAAGCCCGCCGAATTGCCGTCCCGAGTGCACAGTCAGTGCCGAGTGCGCTTTCAATCTAGCGTGCATCAAGAACAAATGTAGCGATCCCTGTCCCGGATTGTGTGGTTCTAACACGAGATGCGAGACGATCCATCATAATGCTATATGCTCATGCCGACTTGGCTTCACGGGTGACCCATTCGTTGCCTGTTTTGAAATGCCACGTAAGAGTCAAAGAAAAATTTCATGTTATTTTTCTTTTATAAATTATAAGAGTAATTTATTAATCTTTAAAAGAAGGTACATTTCTTCAAATTGTGAAAATATTATTTTAGAAAAGATTCTTCCGGTATATGATTTCTCTTTCTTTTGTGTGATTAGATAATTATTACGGTTGCGATACTAATAATTCGTTTATTCTATTTAATTAAATGCCCCGTGATTCATTCGTTGTCTTGATTACAAGATCAAATTAAAATATTTAAAAGTATATCACGGTAAACGAGCAAAAGCGTGTAATGAATCCGTTTGTATGTCCATAGCCCCAGATAAAGTGCGTCCACCTGTGAATCCTTGCGCACCCTCAACGTGCGGGCCCTATTCGGAATGTCGTGACATTAATGGCCAAGCGTCCTGCGCTTGTCTGCCAACGTACATAGGAGCACCACCTAATTGCAGGCCCGAATGTTTGATTAATTCGGAATGCCCGAGCAATCAGGCGTGCATTCAAAGAAAGTGCAGGTACCCTTGCGACGGAGTGTGCGGAGTAGGAGCAACTTGTAATGTCATTAGCCACTTACCCACGTGTTCCTGCCCGAACGGATTCACCGGGGATCCGTTCGTAATGTGTAGACCAGTTCTTGAGGAAGGTAAGACAATCGGTCGGTAAACATCTATCATGGTTGAAACATAGATGCCGTAATTGATCGCAATTGAACATCATTTGTGAGCAACATTCGTGACTCCTTATTTACGATTTATTAAAATGCAATAGAAATTTATTATGGCATTTGCAATTTGGAAAACTTGTTCGAAGTTTTTTCTAAAATGGCGTTTTCAAATCCACTCTTTAGATACTACGCTTAAACCAACGGATCCGTGCTTAAACTGCGGCGCCAACACGCAGTGTCTGAACGGTGTGTGCACTTGTCTTCCCGAATATCAGGGAGACCCGTTTTTGGGCTGTCGTCCAGAATGTCTTTTAAATCCGGATTGCCCGAGGGACAGAGCTTGCATTAAGAACAGATGTCGCGATCCTTGCGACGGAATCTGCGGGTATAATGCCTTGTGTTCCGTCGTAAATCACATTCCGGTCTGCACTTGCCCATCAGGAATGTCGGGCAACGCGTTCGTAGCGTGTTCTCCGATAGAAGGTATTTACTTGAACGAACAATTCCAAGTAGTGTCTGAGACGGTCGACTAACTTCACAATGAGATCATAAAGCATCTCTGTAATTGTTTTTTTTCTACATTTACGTAGTATCGATACCGAAAGATCCATGCAACCCGACACCATGTGGACCCAATAGCCAGTGCCGAAAGATAAATGAGCAGGCCGTCTGCTCGTGTATACCCGGATACCTGGACGCACCGCCCAATTGCCGAGCCGAGTGTATTATCAGTTCCGATTGTCCCGCAAACATGGCCTGCAATAATCAGAAATGCATAGACCCCTGTCCCGGAACGTGCGGTATCAGAGCCCAATGCACCGTAGTCAATCACAACCCGATCTGTTCTTGCCCCGCCGAGTTGACCGGCGACCCGTTCACACAGTGCATCTCAAGACGTGAGTAACTCGAAGAGTGCGTAGAAAACGCATCAATCGCGTCGGATATCTTGTCAGGCGAGCGAGTGTTGCATTGATTATTTTTCTAATAGCGGAGCAACCTCCAACGCCCGTAAATCCCTGCGTCCCGTCTCCGTGTGGGCTCAACAGTAGATGTCAGGTCGTAAACGACGCGCCCTCGTGCAGTTGCCTAGCAGAGTTCATCGGCGAACCGCCAAATTGCAGGCCGGAATGCGTTAGTAATAGCGAGTGTTCCACGCATTTGGCGTGCATCAATCAGAAGTGCCGCGATCCTTGCCCGGGCTCCTGCGGTATCAATTCTGATTGTCGAGTGATCAGCCACACGTCTATGTGCGTGTGCTCTGCCGGATACGAGGGTGATCCGTTCATACAATGTAACCCTAAGCGAAGTAAGTGCAATATTCCGGATATTTGTATCTAGAGAATCCAGAAACGCGGATTACGTTTTCAATCACAGATTCTGTGACAAATTCAAATTCACTGTCCTCTGCAAAAATTCTCGTACAAGCTATTATTTGTTGTCAATTTTTTAGTTTACAGTATCAATGTCCTCTTGTGGATATTGATAGTTCAGAATTAATTTTTATTTAAAATAATTTTTCTCTGTCTTATTTTCGGGTTTTAATAAAATTTAATAAAATTGATTTTTTGATTTCTCAATTGATGGTTCATTAGAATCTGTGATAGAATATACATATACGGTATAATTATGACATATACAATATATGTTAGCAATTTTTTGATTTCTTGATTTTTTGATTTTTTGATTTTTTAATTTTTTGATTTCTCAATTGATGGTTCATTAGAATCTGTGATAGAATATACATATACGGTATAATTATGACATATACAATATATGTTAGCAATTCACCGGAGCAACATTATCGGTGTTGCCTCGAGAGCGAAAAGTATATCTGACATTCCCGTAGGCGAAGTTATGAGTGCCGTAAAACCAACTCCCTGTATTCCGTCGCCTTGCGGCTTCAACGCGATGTGTCGCGAATCGAATGGCGCTGGTTCTTGCACGTGTCTAGCGGATTACATAGGCAATCCGTACGAAGGCTGTCGACCCGAATGCACGATGAATTCCGACTGCACCGCGGACCGCGCGTGCATCGGATCGAAGTGTCAGAATCCTTGTCCAGGCTTCTGCGGGTATAACGCGGTTTGTCAAGTAGTGAATCACGCGCCGTTGTGCATATGTCAATCTGGATACAGCGGCAACCCATTCATCTCTTGCAATATCGTGGAAGATACGAGTGAGTGATATAGAATTTCAGAAGATCTTCGATATGATATAATTTGATAATTTGTCGTCCGTGTTTCACTGAGATACTTGCAACATAGAGTAAATTTTCACATACGATTAAGCGAAGAGTAATAAATAACTGAATCGTGCAACAAGCATCGCGATTAATTAAAAAATCTTTTTAGAACTAGAGAGCAATCCGTGCAGCCCGTCTCCCTGTGGACTTAACAGCCAATGCCGTGAATTAAACGGTCAAGCGATCTGCACGTGCTTGCCCACATTTATCGGAACCCCACCAAGCTGTCGTGCCGAGTGCACTGTTAGCTCCGATTGCCTCCAAAATCGTGCGTGCAAGAACCGCAAATGCGTTGACCCGTGCCCGGGCATCTGCGGTATTAACGCGAGATGTGAAGTAATTAATCACAGTCCGATTTGTAGTTGCAATCAAGACTTTACCGGTGATCCCTTCGTGGCATGTTTCCGAATAGGTGAGTAGCACGCAAGGTACCGATTGCTTATTCTCAGTCGTTGCACATTTTATTTGTAAAATTTTTTTAAATAATTGAAACGCGTCATTTTTTCTTATGTTCGAGTTTCTAGCAAGGCAAAATGTTGTGAATTTTTCAAAGCGAGCGATGCTAAATTAAAATTTGTAAAGTAGAATTCTGCGCGTGTGAAAAATATCACGTTTTATGGAAAATATTTGCAGAAATAGATAAAGACACCCCTACGACGCCGGCGAATCCGTGCGTGCCATCTCCTTGCGGTCCATTCGCCACTTGTCGCGACAGCGGTTATGCAGGCGTGCCCACATGTACATGCCTAGAAAATTACATCGGTAGTCCTCCGAACTGCCGGCCAGAATGCACTGTAGATTCCGACTGCAGTAGCAATAGAGCTTGCTTGAGGCAAAAATGCAGAGACCCATGCCCGGGCTCATGCGGTATCGGAGCGCAATGTCTCGTGGTCAATCACATGGCTGTATGTCTCTGCCCGAAGGGTTATACTGGAGATGCCTTTGCCAGCTGCTATCCAGAACCTCCCCGTAAGCTTTTCAATTTCCACACACAGCATAGGGAATCCTTATTTTCTAATATATCAACCATACGATCGATAAGACGAAATGGATGAACGATAATATAACTTTTCTTAATTTCTAGTTATTATAGAAATTTTTGTTATCGAATATAATTAATTTAATTTCTAAATATTATAAATTAATTAATATAAATTAAAACGGATATATATATATATATATATATATATATATAACTTAATTTCTAGATTATACAAATTTTGGATATCGACAAAAATTAATAGTTAAGTATGTTGATTGCAACTAATTGTAATGAATTTGTGATTTAATTTGTCAACGTTCTTAAATTCAACAGTAATGGTCGTTTTAACAAAATAAGGATACACTTAGATACCTTGAAGTTCGAAGGATCTTGTTTTTCATTGTAAATCTTGGAGAACAATCTCGCTCATATAAGACACTTCCAGCTGCACCAGTGCCACAAGATCCTTGCAATCCAAATCCATGCGGGGCCAATGCGGTATGCCGCGACGGTACTTGCGCTTGTATGCCCGAGTATCACGGCGATCCTTATTCCGCGTGTCGACCCGAGTGCGTGCAGAATCCGGACTGTCCATTAGACAAAGCCTGCGTTCGCAATAAGTGCTTCGACCCATGCGCCGGAGCTTGCGGGCAAAATGCGAAGTGCACGGTCATCAATCACACCCCCATGTGCACTTGCCCCGACGGAATGTCTGGCAACGCTTTCGCGGTGTGTTATCCGGTACAAGGTAAATTCATCGATGAACGGGAACGTGCTACGTGCACGTCAACGATAATACCGAATTGAAGTCATCGCAGAGAAGTTTCACCCTGTCACGTAAAGAAATGTAAACCCCTTTACAGATACTGTGGTTAAAAACCCGTGCAACCCATCACCCTGCGGCCCGAACAGTCGCTGCCAGAGCTTTAACAATCAAGCAGTGTGCTCATGCGTACCTGGATTCATAGGAAACCCCCCGGCCTGTCGTCCCGAGTGCATAGTCAATACCGATTGCGCGCTGAACGAGGCCTGCATCAACATGAAATGCGGCAATCCCTGCCAGGGTGCGTGCGGTATATCCGCGCGCTGCCAAGTGCTCAATCACAATCCGATTTGCAGCTGCCCTCCCGCATTTACCGGTGATCCGTTCATACATTGCTCACCGAGACGTAAGTTCCCTTGTCCGTTCAAGGTATATTCGCATTCGTATATCGAGCGCATAGCAACCTGTATTTTCCACTTAAAGCCGAGACTGTACCGAAACCGGTAAACCCGTGCCAACCTTCACCCTGCGGCCCTAATGCTCAATGTCAGGTTGTCAACGACTCACCATCGTGCTCGTGCATGCCGGAATACATTGGAACACCACCGAGCTGCAGACCGGAGTGTATCAGCAACAGCGAATGCCCGAGTCAGCAAGCTTGCATCAATCGCAAGTGTAGAGACCCGTGCCCCGGATCGTGTTTCGCCCTGGCCGACTGTCATGTCGTTAATCACGTGCCAACTTGCTCGTGTCGCGCCGGTTATACGGGCGATCCATTTGTTCAATGCACGATCAAGGAGAGTAAGTGCCGTCGTTCGTAAACTCTTCTCGATATCTTATTTTACAGAATCTGATCGAACAACTACATCGTTCATTATTATAATTAGTAATATAATTGCTCTCGCGTGTTTCATATCTCGATTAATTATCGCGTTGATCGTGTGAGACGTGGGGATCGATAGAATTCTCAAGGATGATAACCAAGGATTGATTTCACAGATAGGATAAAGATATGTTCTTTTAGGCGAATCACCAGCACCAAGTCGACCATGCCAACCGTCCCCCTGCGGCACGAACGCCATGTGTAGAGAACAGAACGGCGTTGGTTCCTGCACATGTTTGCCCGAGTACATCGGAAACCCCTATGAAGGATGTCGCCCTGAATGTACCTTATCTTCAGACTGCCCCGCGCACTTAGCCTGCATCGGATCGAAGTGTCAGAATCCGTGTCCAGGCTCGTGTGGCGCCAATACCAACTGCCAAGTCATCAACAATATCCCCGTTTGCACTTGCATCCCCGGCTACACCGGCAATCCGTACATAAATTGTGTTTATCAGGCCCTCGAGAGTAAGTAGCGACGTGAGCGCATTCAGCAGCATGTTAGAGTTAGGTGTGACGAATGAAACTGGACGGATAGTCACCTGACAAATTGTTATACGCACTGTTGCATTATTATAGTTCCTGAGGATGACCGTGAACCTTGCAAACCTTCCCCTTGCGGTGCGAACAGTCAATGCGCCAATAATAATGGTCAAGCGATATGCTCCTGTTTACTCAAATTCATCGGAGCCCCGCCGTATTGTAGGCCGGAATGCTTAGTGAATTCGGAGTGTGGATCGAACCGAGCGTGCGTGAATCAGAAATGCGTGGACCCCTGCGTTGGTACTTGCGGCCGCGAGGCTCGATGCAAAGTTATACACCACAGCCCGATTTGCAATTGTCCGAGCGGCTTCACGGGCGATCCGTTCATCTATTGCTTCCAAGCGCCAAGTATGTTTTGCAGGAGTGAAATCCATCATAGATCAATGAAATTAAGTCGGAAACTGATAAGTTCTTTTGATAAAATTACATTTTCGAAATTGAAAAGTAAAGAAAGAAATTTCTTATTTATTTTACTTCGTCATTTTTCATTATCTTCTTATTTATGAAAAATTGAAAGTACTTATCATTTTATATCTGATGTAATTTTTGACTTTGAAATTTTCAATTTCACTTTCTTGTTGATCAATTTTATTCAAATTTGATGAAACTCGAGGATTCAACCTCAGTTTTTTACTTAATCGAATTTACCTTCACACGGAAGATATTAGTGCTACTTGTATTTCTCTACAGTACCAGTACCAATAGAAGATCAATACCCGAAGGACCCGTGTTTACCTTCACCTTGTGGACCGAACGCTCTGTGCAGAGCCGTTGGCAACACACCGGCGTGCAGTTGCATGCAGAATTACATCGGTGTGCCTCCGAATTGCCGACCCGAGTGCTCGATAAATTCGGATTGTCCCGCCGACAAAGCCTGTATCAGAGAGAAATGCAGAGATCCTTGCCCAGGATCGTGCGGCCTTTTGGCGCAATGCACGACGATAAATCACACACCGTCTTGCGTGTGTCCCGAAGGATACACCGGCGATCCCTTCGTCAGTTGCAACCCCGCGCCTCAGAAACCTCGTAAGAGTCACATTTGTCGCTACATTATTATCAACGAAGTCGCATTTACAGAGATCTCTTTTACTCATTTACACCTCCAGTCGTGTTGTACCGTGTGACAGAATTAACGAGCATTCCAGTTCGCTGCAATTTGATCTGCACGTATTTCAGTACCGCCCCCTGACCGATGCAATCCATCACCATGCGGCCAAAACACTCGATGTAACGACGGAGTGTGCACATGCATTCCCGAGTACTTTGGGGACCCGTTCGTTGGCTGTCGACCGGAATGCGTCATCAACACCGATTGTCCGCGTGACAAGGCTTGTATGTTGCACAAATGTCGCGACCCATGCGTCGGTACGTGCGGCCTCAACGCAGAATGCAACGTCGTTAATCACTTGCCGATGTGCAGCTGTCCGCGAAACATGACCGGCAACGCGTTCATTTCCTGCACGCCCGTGCAAGGTTCGTATTCGCGCCGGGCGTCCATTCCACCCCGACTGTCTTCCGACACGAGTACGTCATAATTATTGTTAAATAGATACGATCATCTTCGAGCCGTGCAACCCATCCCCCTGCGGACCAAACAGTCATTGTCGCGCGTCAAACGGTCAGGCGGTTTGCGCGTGCATCGCCGGATTTAGAGGAGCCCCGCCGTCCTGTAGGCCGGAGTGTCTCATAAGCGCTGACTGCGCTCGCAATCGGGCCTGCAGCAATCAGAAGTGCATCGACCCATGTCTCGGTGCGTGCGGAATAGCCGCGCAATGCGCCGTCGTCAACCACAACCCGGTGTGCAGCTGTTCGACCTTGTACACGGGAGACCCGTTCGTCCAATGCTTCCCGCAACGTAAGAATTCCGCGCGAAATTTGTCGCGAATCATGCCCTAAAATACGACGATTCGTCGGCCGGTGTGAGCACAGTTCTCTTACGAATTGCAGCGAAAGAACCACCATCACCGCCGACCGATTCTTGCCGACCTTCACCTTGCGGCCCGAACGCGGTTTGTCAGGTCCTCAACGGCGCTCCGTCGTGCTCGTGCTTGCCGCAGTTTATCGGTATCCCACCTAGGTGTAGACCCGAGTGCGTGAGCAACAGCGAATGTCCCAGCCAACAGGCTTGCATCAATCAGAAGTGCCGGGATCCTTGTCCGGGATCGTGCGGCAGGAATGCCGAGTGTAGGACCGTCAGTCACACCCCGATGTGCGTTTGCGCCAGCGACTTTACCGGAGATCCCTTCATCCAATGTAACCCTCGGCCAAGTAAGTGTCAAAGACGTGCCGCGAACGAATGTGTTTGACGATTAGCGGAAAGCAAATCTCTCTGTGATCTTTTACGGTAGGACTACGACTCATGACTCTCTATTTTAGTTGAAACACCTCCCGCTCTGTTAAACCCATGCCAATCATCCCCGTGTGGCGCGAACGCTATGTGTCGGGAAGTCTCCGGCTCGGCCTCTTGCGTCTGCTTGCCCGATTTCTACGGAAACCCGTACGAAGGTTGTAGGCCCGAGTGCGTAATCAATTCCGACTGTACGTCCAATCGAGCTTGCATAAGGAACCGCTGTCAGGATCCCTGTCCAGGAACGTGCGGCGTCAACGCGATCTGCGAAGTCATCAATCATATACCAGCGTGCAGCTGTCAGCCAAGACACACCGGAGACCCGTTCAGATATTGTTCACCCATACAAGAAACTCGTAAGTGGGGCACTCGAACGCCCGTCATTCGCATAGCTGCGCTTTGCAGGAAGCCGCGTTTTCTTACTTCGCGATTCGTGTCGCACAGCTCCGACGCCCATAGGAGATCCTTGCCAGCCATCTCCCTGCGGTCCAAACAGCAACTGCCTTAATCGAAACGGGCAAGCCAGCTGTTCATGCTTGCCGAATTACCAAGGAAATCCTCCCGAGTGCAGGCCTGAATGTGTTATTAGCACAGAATGCCCCATGAATCGCGCGTGTATCAATCAGAAGTGCGTTGATCCGTGCCCAGGTGTGTGCGGCATTAACGCCAAGTGCAACGCCCTGTCCCACAGCCCGTTCTGCAGTTGCGGACCTGGTCAGATCGGAGATCCGTTCGTCAAGTGTTTCGACATGCCTCGTAAGTGACCGAAACCTACCAACCGACCAAAGAGCGAATGAAAGAGAGAGAGAAAGAGAAGATATCGCGTCCCTGGGAACACGTCTCACCTACGAAGATTGTCATTTAATTTTATTCCAGTGATGCCTACACCACCGCAGCAGGCGAACCCTTGCATCCCGTCGCCCTGCGGCCCATTCTCCACGTGCCAAGACAGGGGAGGCTATCCATCTTGCACGTGTATGCCCAATTACATCGGATCACCGCCATACTGCCGCGCCGAGTGCTCGATCGACTCCGATTGCACCGGCGACAAAGCCTGCATCCGAGAGAAATGTAGAGACCCCTGCCCCGGATCTTGTGGTTTTAATGCTCTGTGTACCGTCATCAACCATACCCCGGCTTGCACGTGTCCCGACGGATACACGGGCGATCCCTTCAACAATTGTTACCTGACACCCATGCGTAAGACGATCATCTCCACCAGTTACTGTTTATTACTCACACGAGTCATTATATTCGCGTAAGCGGCGCGAACCGATTACCGTTCGATTACACTCACGTCTCCCACGCACAGAGACTCCTCCGGCAAAGCCAGATCCGTGCAACCCGTCACCTTGCGGCCCGAACGCCGAATGCACCGGTAACGGCGTCTGCAGATGCATAGCCGAGTACCGTGGCGATCCGTACCGAGAATGCCGGCCGGAATGCGTGCAGAACTCCGACTGTCCATACAACAAGGCTTGCGCGAACAATAAATGCGTGGACCCCTGCGTCGGAATCTGCGGACAAAACGCGGAATGCGTGGTGGTCGCGCACATTGCCACTTGCAGTTGCGCCCAGAATTACGAAGGTGACCCGTTCACCCTGTGTACACGCGTGAAACGTGAGTTTCCCTGATCCTTTAGAGCTCCCTGTCTCATGAGGGTGTTTCCCACCGGTTAGGAGAGGCCACTAATTATCATTGTCTTGCGTCCCGATAGCACGCGTGAAACCCTGCGAGCCCTCTCCCTGTGGACCCAACAGCGCCTGCCGTGAATTCGGCGAGCAGGCCTCTTGCTCTTGCCTGCCCGGTTACTTCGGGGTCCCGCCGAGCTGCAGACCCGAGTGTCTCGTTAGCACCGACTGCGAGCAGAGCAAGGCCTGCGTGAACACGAGATGCCGCAACCCCTGCGAGAACGCGTGCGGCCCGAACGCACTGTGCGTCGTGCGAAATCACAATCCTATTTGCAGGTGCCCCGATCAGCATTCCGGCGACCCGTTCGTCAATTGCTTCCCTATAAGTAAGTAGCCGGCCAGAGAAAGAAAGAGAGAGAGTGAAAGAGAGAGTGCTCCTCCGGGTGACACGGACGCCTGAGATCCGTCATGGAGTTACATCTTGAGGAGACGCACGTCTCTTGGATGTCTTCCCGACGTGTTCTCGTCATTCGTGCCATTGGAGACGCCGCTTCCTTTGGAACCATTAATGAAATATCTTTCTTTTTATTTTCATCGCCAGCATCATCGGACGTAGAACCCTCCACCAAGGACCCGTGTTACCCCTCACCGTGTGGACTGAACTCGCAGTGCGCGGTATCTGCCGATAATAAACCCTCCTGCTCCTGCTTACCCACCTTCTTAGGATCTCCACCCAATTGTAGACCCGAATGCCGTGTAAACAACGACTGTCCCGCCAATCGAGCATGCATTAGGCAGAAATGTAGCGACCCGTGCGTTGGATCGTGCGGACTCAATGCACTGTGCCAAGTCACTTTGCACCAAGCCCGATGCACCTGTCCCGAATCATACACCGGAGACCCGTTCACAGTTTGTTCTGTGATACCATGTAAGAAAACCCCCGTTGTTATCTTTGTCCACACAGCCAGATGGAACGTGATATATTCGGCACCTTGTCCCAAATTTCAATTTCAGTTTCTAGAATTCCTGATCATTCGATTTCTCTCGTATCTGTAAATATCGCGTATTGTATATAATGAAATGTATATTCTAAAGAGCCGCACACGCGCGTCAAGTTTCTCCTTCGCAATTTTGATCTTTGATCTCATAACATTCTTTGAAATACTATACTCGACTACTTGGCGCACACGCCTCAGTACACGCAATACTTCTTCTCGAATTTATATGTAAGATATACATGCTGCGCACCTTTACCGTGTACAGGAGGCACGCGCGATGCATGCGCGAAAAGAAAAAAAAATATATATATATATACGTTCGCTTATCTCTACTTTTACTCGCAAATATCTCTATATCTTCCAAAATGTTAATTTTACGTGCATATACTGTAATATACACCGTCTGCGAGACTGCTAAAATGTATCTGCATGACTGTGAGATTAATTAAACATCTTCTACTGTTCTTGCAGCAACACCAGCACCGCCAACACCTTCTAGACCATGCAGTCCTTCACCTTGCGGTATAAACGCGTACTGTCATGAGAGATTCAACACGGCCATTTGCGAGTGCATATCGAACTACAGAGGCAACCCGTATCAAGGCTGTCAACCGGAGTGTCTCGTGAATACCGACTGTCCGCAGTCGCAGGCTTGCATAAGAACGAAGTGTCAAGATCCCTGTCCTGGTACTTGCGGGGTCGGAGCGATTTGCACGGTGTCGAATCACGTGCCCATCTGTTCGTGCCCGCTGCCAACGATCGGCGACGCTTTCACGCTTTGTCAAGTTTCTGTGGAAGGTAATCTTGCTATCTATATCGCTCATTGCTTAACGTCTAGTTTAATCGGGAAGTGATTCAAGCTTGCAAGACGTAGAGATATAAATAAAATAAATAAATAAAAGATTAAGAATTTTATTTCAATTTTTTAATTCATCACACAATATGAAACTTTTTCTTCTCTTGAGACAAGTATTATTCAAGTTATGACAATTTTTGTTTCAGATACCAAAGAAATGGACCCGTGCTATCCTTCACCGTGTGGCCCGAATACCGTCTGCGAAAAAATCGGCAATACCGCAGTCTGCAAGTGTTTGCCTGGATTACAAGGCGTCCCAACGAGTGTCACCGGCTGCCACCCGGAGTGCGTGCTCAGCTCGGACTGTCCAGGCGACAAGGCTTGCATACAGAGCAAATGCAAGGATCCTTGCTCTCAAAACGTATGCGGCAGCAAAGCGGTGTGTAAAACGATCAATCACAGTCCGCTGTGCAGCTGTCCATCTCCCTTGATCGGCAATCCCTTCGAGGAGTGTTACACGAAAATCGGTAAGTATATGCGAATTACATTTGTGACACGAAATATATTAATTGAATTTCATAAACACATTAATTTGCACGGTCTCGAAATTTTTCTGTAATGCGCGTTTTTGTTTTCAGAAACCAATCCTTGCAGTCCATCGCCTTGTAATTACAACGGCGAGTGCAGAGTGAGGAACGGCGTCGCAGTCTGCATCTATCCCGAGTGCATCATCAACACCGACTGTCCACGCGACAAGGCATGCTTCTCGCAAAAATGCAGGGATCCCTGCATCGGCGCATGCGGCATCAATTCTCTCTGCCAGACCGTTAATCACAAACCTGTGTGCTCCTGCCCAGTCGGTTTCACGGGCGACGCCCGAGTGCAATGTACAATTCCAACTCTTGCAGGTAAGATTTAAAAATATATATAAAATATAATTATATTTTTTGTAAACTATTTCGAAGCACTTCATATAATACTTAAAATGGCGATATGTAAAATTTCGAGTCAAATATTATGTTGTTAATAGTACGGCAATGTATTTAACAAGTGCGTACGTAATATTAATTGAATTATATGTCCGCAGAACCGATCCCAGAATGCACTCAAAATACTGAATGCACGAATGACAAGACTTGCTTCAATCAGAAGTGTGTCGATCCGTGTACTCTGGACTCGTGTGGCCTCAACAGCCGCTGCCACGTGATAATACACAGAGCCATATGCGTCTGCAACGAAGGATTTACTGGAAATCCTCAGCAATATTGCCACCAACGTACGTATAAAAAAAATATCTAATCGATTTGTATAAAATATATAAAATCGATACGTTTCTGCTTATGAATGTATAATCATATTATACTAATTATTTCATTAACATTTTCCTTCTAGTCGGTTGCCGCAATGATAACGAGTGTCCGTTGATTCAATCCTGCATCAACAATGAGTGCATTGACACCTGTCTGGTTACACAGTGCGGCCTCAACGCATTGTGTACCGCTGACGGATACCACAAGACTCGATGCTACTGTCCGGATGGCTACACAGGCAATCCATACGAAGTGTGCGAGAGACCAGAATGCACGAGCGATAACGACTGCGCTCCGTTCTTGGCCTGTCGCAATTTGAAATGCGTCAATCCTTGCAACTGCCCGCCACCGGCTTTGTGCACTGTCGTCAATCATCGATCGATCTGTAAATGTCCGCCTGGATATATCGGCAATCCTTACAGCTCATGTCTTCTGGGTAAGAGTCCATTTTGGTATTACAGTGTTTAAGAAATCATTTATAAAGTTTTTTTTCACTCCTATACTTCATTTACAATCTATCCTAAGATAATAAGTAAATTTGTTTATAAAGTAAATAAGCAAAAATTTATTCTATGACATGATACATATAATTAATATAATTAAAGTTGCTAAATTATTATTTTATTATTATTTTATTTAATACTTTAATACGTTTAGTACTTTCCAGAAGTATTATTATTCATGTGATTATTGGAACAACAAAATATATTGACTGGCTATTGTTATTCTCTTTCCAGAACCATTGGAACCGAAGGCCGAATGTCAAGTCGACGCCGATTGTCCCAGCAAGCTGGCATGTTTCAACGGCATTTGCAAAGATCCATGTGCAGAAACGAAACCGTGCATCTCTAGCGCCAGATGCAGCGTCGTCGATACTTTACCGATGAGAACAATGATCTGCGAATGCCTGCCGAACTACGCTGGTGATGCCACCATTCTTTGCGTGCCAGGTACAATTTCAATTAAATTTCTCTCCTTTATTGTTCTAATTTTGATTTTTCATGGAGTCCATATTTATTACCGAGATAAGATTTAAGAATTAATAAATGAATAAAATTAGTTATTTCACATTTGATTAGCTTCATGACGAATTTATTAATTGGTAATATTGGATTGCTGATATTTTTATACACAGTGGACAAACAAATCGCCGCAATTTGCGAGAGTGACTCACAATGTACACCGGACATGGCCTGTCTCAACCGTCGATGCATCAATCCATGTAACGTCAATCCGTGCGCTTCAAATGCGGAGTGTCATATCGAGAACCATCGTCGCATATGTCAATGTCCTCGCGGATACGCCGGCGATCCGTTCATCAACTGCTACGAAGGTACCACGTCGCATGTTCTTTACTATTTGTCGATCTCAACCATCGAGCATCTTTTGCATTTGCTCTCTTTGCCTCGCAGGAAACGTGGTTCTCCCGGAATGCAGAACAAACACCGAGTGTCCGTCCGACAAAGCGTGCATTAATCAACTTTGCCAAGACCCATGCTCCAGCAATCGCTGCGGATTTAACGCCGAGTGCATCACGATCAATCATCATCCTTCTTGTCATTGCCAAGGCGGTTTAGCCGGCGACCCGCAGCTTCAATGCTTCAGACGTAAGTTTCTTAACTTTTTTCTTTCAAGAATTTTTAAGATTCTTATTTTATTTGAAACTTCTATTTAAATAGAAATAAAATTGAAATTTTACTTAAAATTCAAATTCTATTTCTATTCTTAAATATTTCAATTTTGATTGTCTTCGCGTTGTAAAGAAATGTGTCGATCGATCAATCATTTTAAATTTCTTCGAATGATACTTATCCCGCATAATTTTCTCCTACAGCCGAGTGTAAAACAGACAACGACTGTCCTTACGACAAGACCTGCCGAAACGACAACTGTGTCACTCCGTGCCTCATCGGTGAAGTCGTGTGCGGTCGTGGCGCAGAATGCAGAGCGGTGTCTCACAGAGCTCAATGTATTTGCCCGCAAGGCACTCAGGGCGATCCGCGAGTGGCGTGTATTTCGGCGATTTGCCACTACAACGAGGACTGTGCAGATCACGAAGCCTGCGACAGATTGAACAGAGTTTGCAGACCAGTCTGCGACGACGACGCTTGTGCCGAAACGGCTACCTGTATCGCGCGCGACCATCAGCCGAAGTGCACGTGCCCTCCGGGTACTACCGGAAATCCATATATAACATGCGTTGGTATGTTGAAAATTTCAATCTGATTGTATCAAATTATTATCAAAACTGTTTGGTATGAAAATTTCATGATTTCATGAACTTGATTATTTTTATTACATATCTTATCATCAAATCTTTTCTCTTTATGAACAATTTTCCCTGATTCAATTATTTCAGTCTTAATAATTTAAACTTTGGTATTTTTAACTTTGGTAACTTCAGTGTTGGTATTTTTTTTCAAATTATAACTGGTCGAAAATTAATTTAAAATCGATATTTAACATCACGCTTTAATGTGAAAATACATTTTGAAAGTTATCACTACAAGTTTTCGTGATTTTTAGGTGCGCCCATCGTACCTGAATGCACACAGGACAGTGAATGCGCATTGAATCTTGCCTGTATTAACAACAAGTGCCAAGATCCTTGCGCCTTTGGCGGTATGTGCACCAGTGAGCAGGAATGCAAAGTTTTGAACACCGTGCCGCTTCGTACCATGATCTGTTTGTGTCCACCAAATACAATCACCGATGAGAACGGACAATGCAAGCCGATCGGTATGTATCAATTTATTAAAAAGACAGAATTCGCGAAATATAACGTAATAGAACATTATGGTAGTTCATGGTCATGCATCGTTGCTTAGTCTTTCGTACAGCTCTATAATTAATTATCCATGTGTGTATCACAGTATTGGGCAACGTACAATGTCATCTGGATCAAGATTGCGCCAATCACGAGAAGTGTCTCGATGGAGTATGCGTGGACGCCTGTTTGACAACCCAGTGCGGCTTCAACGCGCAATGCAAGTCCACGTCTCATACGAGTATCTGCTTCTGCTCGCAGGACTTCACAGGCAACGCTTACATAGAATGCATAAGAGGTACGTCAAAATAGCAAATTAAATTGTAATTAGAAATTATCCCCGTTGTCTCACGAATTCATCTCCAAGTCGCGATGTACACGTCCCTGAATCTCACACGCAATTTCTAATTTTGCAGTTCCAGTCACTCCGCTGCCAGGACATCGGCCAGAGTGTTACACGAATAGCGAGTGCGCGCGCGACAAGCAATGCATCAATTCACTCTGCGTAAATCCGTGCGTCGCCGGCGACCCTTGCGGCAGGAATTCTCTGTGCCACGTTGATCATCACAATCCGATCTGCAAGTGTCCGATCGGCTACATCGGCGATGCCAGGATTAAGTGCATACCACGTAAGAATCATCACTGAAAATTATGTTTTGGAAATTAGTCCTCATGATGCAAAGCGATTCTTCATGTCGCGATATTCCTGTTACAGCCGAGATCGTGCCTGAGTGTGTTTCAAACAGTGAATGCGCAGGAAACTATGCGTGTGTCAACAATGCATGTATCAATCCCTGCAATTGTGGGCCCAATGCCAAGTGTAACGTCGTCAATCATTATCCTTCCTGCATATGCCTGCCAGGCTATTCTGGCAATCCTCAGTTGGGATGCTTCAAACGTGAGTGTCTATTTCCTTTGCTTACTTGTATAATCGCGAAAATAAAATATGCCAGACACTTTTAAAAGATATTCTCAAAATTTCTAACAGACGTCTTAAAACAGTAGGACGTCTTTTGGATATCTTTAAAATAATTTTTTTTTAATTTGAGCTTGAATTGTTAACGTGCTCGTGTAATATTCATATAAGTATATACTGCTACCGTGGAAGCGTGGATGGAAATGTTTCATAAATTCTGATATATAATTAACCGTAATTATTTGTTTCAGTCGACTGTGAATCCGACAGTGAGTGCGATTACACGGCTACCTGCTACAACGGCCAATGCGTCAATCCCTGCATCCTGGACAATAAATGCGCCATCAACGCGGAATGTTACGGAAAGAATCATCGCTCGGCTTGTCGTTGTGGTCCAGGTTATTACGGCAATCCTCAGATTCACTGCGAGAGAGTCGAGTGTAACACGGACCACGACTGTCCCAACAATCTTGCATGTAACAACGGTCGCTGCGTGAATCCTTGCGCCGAGGGCTCACCGTGCGCGCAGAACGCGATCTGCTACGTGCAGGATCATGTAGCTTCCTGTCGCTGTCCTGAGAACCTCCCTCTGGGAAATCCATTCTCCTACTGTGAACGACGTCCTGTGGAAGAAGTGGACGAGCCAGAATGCAGAATCGATCTCGACTGTTCGGATAAACTGGTGTGCATCCGGGAGAAATGCATCGATCCTTGCCCCGTCATCAAGCCGTGCCTGGAGAATGCTCGTTGCGACGTTCTCGACACCGTGCCAGTGAGGACCATGATTTGTACATGTCCGGAGGGATGGATCACCGACATCGACGGAGTATGCAGGCCGAGTAAGTAAAATAAAAAAAACTATTAGAATTAATAAAAACATGAGCCATTCTTAAAAATTGAGATACCGAAAAACATAGAATTATAATCCGCATGAGAAATTCTAAATACATGAATAGTTAGAAGTATTGAATCAACTATAAAGTTTGATTTAATTTTTTAATCAAATTTATCTTCGTTGTATTTAATGACAAAAATTATTCATCCCTCAAGTAATCGCCGTCGTTGTCTATAATTTTTCGCTAACGTTTTTGGCAGCGGAATTTATGACTAATAATTTATATTAATGATTATCAGCATCATTATCTATATATTACATGTACATAACGCTTTTAAAAATTAAGCCAAACTTTTTGACTGAGCTAATATATTCTGTTTTCATAAGTGCAAAAATATTATATTTGATAATGTGAATATATTTATAATCTACAAATTATTTCAATCACGCACAGTACAACTGACGGTGATCGGAACGTGCACGACGAACGACGACTGCAGCGACCGCGACGCCTGCATCAATAGACAATGCCGCAACCCGTGCAACTGCGGTGCGAACGCTGTCTGCTACGTGAGGAACCACAAACCGGTCTGCTCGTGCGAACAAGGCTACCAGGGCAATCCCGAGATCGCATGCCACTCGGTCGAGTGCCGGCACGACAGCCAGTGCACGATCGACAAAGCCTGCGAGAACAACAACTGCGTGAACCCATGCCTGATCGCGGACCTGTGCGGCACCAACGCCGAGTGCTTCCCGAACAACCACGTGGCCGACTGCCGTTGCCGCAAAGGCTACCATGGCAATCCCCTGGACCGTTGCCGTGTGATCGGCTGCTACAGCAACGGTGACTGTCCGGGCGATCACTCGTGCATCAACATGCAGTGTATCGATCCCTGCATTCACGATAACCCCTGCTCGGCTCGCGCCGAGTGCAGGGTCCTGAATCACCTGCCGATATGCCGCTGCCCGCAGCACTTCACTGGCAATCCCTACATCAACTGCCGACCAGAGGAGAGACCGGAGTGCAGGGAAGACAGCGACTGTCCGGACTCGCTCGCCTGTCTTAGCAACAAGTGCCAAGACCCGTGCCCGGTCATACAGCCGTGCACGGAGCCGTCCGAGTGCCGGGTCCTGCCGACGCATCCGGTACGCACCATGGTGTGCGTTTGCCCCAGCGGCTACGTCAGCAGTGGCAGCGGTACTTGCCGTGCCACCAAACCGATCCTCAAGATCGAGTGCACCAAAGACGACGACTGTGCGCCCGAACGATCCTGTATTAACGCCATCTGCAGGGACCCTTGCGCCTGTGGACCCAATGCTGTTTGCAACGTTATCAATCACAAGCCGATATGCTCGTGCACGCTGGGATACGATGGGAATCCGGATATCATCTGCACGAAAGGTGGTGTATTTGTTTCTCTTCGCTCGTGATAGATTCGGACGTCCTTCCATATCTTTATTTTTCTCTTTTATTTATTTGGAAGCTATTTGCACAATCAGGAATTCTATATTTAAGTCTGTATTAATAGTTTTTACTTGATTTGTCTCCAGTAAGATACTCAGATCTTAATTTAGAATTAGAGATGTGAGCTTTTCCGTTAGATAACAATTATAAATATGTCTTATATATCTCATATGGCTTGATTAAAAAACTTATGTATTCTTAGGTAACTTAGGTAACTTAGGTAATTATGAATTCAAATTTGAGTATCTGTCATGTGCGAGCATAAGGAAATTTTATTCGGCATACTTCGACAGTTTGTATTTGAGGTGTAACGTTGTATTTTGATATTTAGTTGCAGGATGCAGGACGGACAGTGATTGTAGCGGGTCGCACGCGTGCGTCCAGCGCAATTGCGTACCAGTATGTTCGCCATCCTTGGCTTCCTGCGGCAAGAACGCTGTATGCCACGGTATACATCACAAAGCTATCTGCGAATGTCCACCTGGCTTCGGCGGCAATCCAAGGGTCTCTTGCGTGCTGTTGGGATGCAGAAGCAACTCGGACTGTCCGACGAACAAGGCGTGCATCAATAACCGCTGTGAGAACCCGTGTGCGATAAACCCGTGCACCGATAATATGGAGTGCAACGTTTACAATCACGTCGTGGAATGCGCGTGTCCACCTGGCTATGTCGGCGACGTTAGAACCGGATGTACCAAAGGTAAGAAGGCTCATTTCTCCATTATCGATTAGTAACGAATTATTTAAAGACAGTTTTTTCTTTTATTATTAAAAAACTGTCTTTTTGTTACAAAAAAAAATAAATAAAAAGCATATAATGTATTCATATATATCGGTCTAATTTTAATTTCTTCTTCTCACGCAGTTAAAGAGAAGTGCAAAGCAGACAACGAATGTCCGTCTCAAACCGCGTGCTTCAACGGACAATGCATCAATCCATGCACGAAAATCGAGCCTTGCGGTATCAATGCTGTGTGCAAGGTCTTGGATACCAGCCCAGTTAGGACCATGATATGTGAATGTCTCCCAGGATACCGTGGAAACGCGGTTGTCCGTTGTGAGAAAGGTAATCACCGGAAATCAAGTAATAGCGTTAAAGAATAAAAAGTAAAATCGGAGATTCGATAAATATTCAATGCGAAATTTTCATTTGTTTTTCTCTGTTTCAGCCAATGTATGTCCAGTTGAGAAAGGCCAGGTTCGCGACGAGTACGGAAACTGCGTCTGCCCACCAGGATTTGGCAAGGACGAGAACGACGACTGCATACCTTGTCGCAGACAATCCAACATGGTGATAAACGAGGAGGGCTATTGCGTGTGCGACCTGGAGAAGGGCTTCAGCATCGACGAATATGGTCGTTGTGTGTGTCCGACGCAGCACGGGTATAGAATCGACGCCAGCGGATATTGCAGAACCGGTGAGTCAGTTATGTAATCACTGTGCGTTAATGAAGAGCTATTTCGCGAAAATAATGTCGCTAATCCACGTCGCGGTTCATGTTTCAGTCGGTGTGATAGAATGCAGACGTAATGACGACTGTGCCGACGACAAATACTGCGAGAAGACCACCAGGACCTGTCAAGATCCCTGCAAGAAGCAAGTGTGCGGTGTGCACGCTCTCTGTAACGCCACCAGACATCAAGCTGCATGCGTTTGTGTCAACGGCTACTTAGGCAATCCGTACACGCAATGCTGTAAGTAAAGAGATCGCAAAAATATACATTTCAGATAATCAATTTCCAAATATTCACGAAAAATTGACATAAGCTGGCTCTTTGTATGATAAAAATTGTTCTCTATCAAAAATAAGTAATATTTAAAGTAAATTTATACTATCATTGAAGTAAATAATATTTAAAATAAATTTTCTATATCACAAACAGAAAGAAAGAAATAATATTAATTTTTGCATATTAAAACAAAATAATTAGGAACGTGATTTATAATAAATAGTTTATTCTTTTGTACAAAATTCTAATTTTGTATCAATGCTCACAGATTGTCGTTCGTTTGGAAGAACGTTTTAACATACGTCTTTTATTTTTTCAGACGACAGAAAGGACGGCCGAACGGATTTCCCAAAACCGGAGATGGACGTGAGCTGTTTGTCGGACGGAGTGCAAGTCGTGATACACTTGCATCAGGAGTTCGACGGAGTTTTGTACGTGAAAGGACGCAGCAAAGACGAGCAATGTAGACGGGTTGTCTCGATACCAGCTGAAACAGAGCACAAGACGGAAACCTTCAAGGTCGCGTTCGGCAATTGCGGACTGATACACGTGAATGTTAGTAGAATATTACGTTATGATTATTTTATTTTAGTTAATATTATATTATATGATTATTATTATATTATATGACGTTTATTGCTCGTCACGATGATGATATGTAATTTTTATGTTATTTTTCAGGGACAAGCCAGCTTCGTGCTGGTCATACAAAAGCACCCGAAATTAATGACGTACAAGGCACAGGCTTATCACATTAAATGTATATATCAGACTGGAGAGCAGAATGTTACTCTTGGCTTTAATGTCTCCATGTTGACGACAGCCGGAACGATCGCTAACACCGGTCCACCGCCCATATGTTTGATGAAAATCGTTGCACAGAACGGAAATGAGATTAATTCAGCTGAAATTGGAGACAATTTGATGCTTCAAGTGGAAGTTCAACCTTCATGTAAGCGTTCAACTTTGTCTTTAATAAAATATTAGATGATTTATGTGATTATTATTACATTTAAACTTTACTATCTCTTGATAAGAAAGGAGGATTAATTGGACAATGTTATAGCTATTTACGGTGGATTCGCGCGACATTGCGTCGCTAAAACGATGGAAGATAATCTAGAGAATGAGTACATCGTGACAGACGAGGATGGTTGTGCAACAGAACCTACAATATTTGGCGAGTGGGAGCAAAATCCTGAAACTCAATCGTTAATGGCTAGTTTCAACGCGTTCAAGTTCCCTAGCAGCGACAATATAAGATTCCAATGCAATATCCGTGTGTGCTTCGGTCGCTGTCAACCTGTGAGTACTCGCTCGTAAAATACTTTGCAACTATTTTATCCTCTGATAGGAAGACAACAGAAGAAAAAGCATTGACAGAAAGAAAGAATGGAGAAAAAAAATTAACGAAAATATGTGCGTTTCTCTCTCAACAGGTTAACTGTCGAGGCTATAACGCCTTTGGCCGTCGTCGCAGGGACGTTGATTCCGAAGTCAACGACACGTCTCTAAGCATATCTGATGGGTTCGAGGGTCAACTTCGTGAAGAAATAACGATTCAATCGAACTTAATATTCACTCTGGAAAGGAGAGAGGAGAGGTATACAGCAGATCCAGCTGAAGGTAAAAGAAAATTTAACATATATAAAGAAACTATATGCAAGATAATTTAAAATTATAGGTAAAGACTCACAACTAAACGTCTTCGAAATTACTCAATTTTCTATTTGCAAGTTATTTTTCGCACGATTATATATAAATCCAGTCAATGGCGTAGTCGGGGGGGGGCTGAGGGGGTTGCAGCCCCCCCGAAATGAATTTTCTGAATTACGTTAAGTGTGAGAAAAATTTTTTCGAAT